AAGGGCCGGAGAAAGCCGGTTTGCTGTTACACTGCTTTACTTGAGGAACCAAATGACTGCCAAACTTCCTGCCTCGCTGCAGGTTTGGAGAAAACGCAGAAGCTAGCAAGTGTTTAAGTAAGTTCTTGGGCTTTCAAAAGTAAGAACACTATTGTTCTTAGCTTAGACACGTAGGAGTGTAAAGAAGCTTTGGTTTGGCAAAGGAATCGCCAGATAGCAGTCGAGAGTGAGGAATCGGAGTAACACCCTGTCTTCGGGATTCTAGTAACCGAAACCGCGTACGCCTGTCTTCTCTTGCGGGTCTTTCCTCACATGTACTTAGGTGCCAGGCCTTAGTTCTGTTGGCTGTTTCGTTTCAATCTTGCCACCCGCTCGTCTCTGCTTTCGCTGTTTGCATCGAAATAGGCTAAGTATGTCGTTAGACTAGAGAATTTATGTTGAACCGAGAGTGCAATCACGACACTTACGCTTCTCACCAAATACGGTTGTTCTGATCCCCTTGCGTGGTGCATCGTACGTTCCGGGAATGACGCGGTGAACTGTACATCTAGGGAGAGTCAGCTCTGGATACTCAAATGCGATGATGAAGACCTGGACATGGTTGTGTCACTGTCCAACTAACCTATTATCCCACATAGCCACGCTACCCACTTCCCACTTCCAGCGAACGGCATGATCGTCAGCAGAGTGGATGTGGTATGTGAAGAAGTCCAACAATTTGTCCGACTCGTATTTTTTCGGCTCGGCAAAGGCGGTTACAAAGCCTGGATTGACGTTCAGCGCCTTGAGTCCGGAGACGGGATGTGTTCTGACAGCTGGATGATGTGAATCAATAGGAGGTCGGTTCGGGCCAGTGCCCCAGAGGTATCCCATCGAGTGCTGCAAGGCGACAGTACATTGAGATGCGGGGGAGCAGCCAATCGGGCCACTTCGGGCCCCTTTTTCCAACCAACCAACGTAATTGATAATAGATACTTCCAATTACTAGAGATTCTGCGTATGAAATCGGTACCAGCAATCTTCTGAGTTACAGAGAGCTACATCGCACTCGAGGCAGCCCATCCTCGTGTACTTCCGCCGCTGCGGTTGGGTATGGATATTACCACTAATTTCGCCCAGCGCAGTCCTCGCTTTTACTTGCGATATCGTACTACAACCCACGCAAGCAGAATTGGCATTTCTGTGCCCTCGTACGTGTAATTGCCACGGTACTGCCTCGTTCCTTTTGTCTGTTGCCCTCCTTGGACGTCCCCGTCGACGACCTTCTGCCAATGGTCCAAACCTCTGAATTAGGTGGGCAGAAAGCAGTCTACGCCATTCATACTGGTTCTGAACCCGGGGCCACTCAGGATCTCCCCATTGTTGAAGACGAAAGGTATTAATAATAATGACTTCGAGGAGAAAGTTCCAGGCAATTGCCTGCCAACTGCCCCGCCTCACGGGCCGGCTGAAGTCGTAATAGGACCGCATTTGGTCCCCGGTATCTACGCCGTTCATACGGTGATTGTACTCATCGATTGCGAGTGGAATCCGGAGATCCTTCCGCACTTCGGGCCCGAAGACCTCCCGTGCTGCCCTCTTCGCAGCGGTATCTCCAGCCGGCCGTTTGCGGTTTCGTACAACGTCGGATGTCTCTCGGAAGACCGTCGTGAGGAAGAGAACGAGGGAATTATCCTTCCAAGTGAACTGGTTGACCTGGAAGTTATTCCAATGAATGGTTTGGTATGGAATAGCCACTGACAGTGATTTGGGTTAACATACTTTCCCGTCAGCCGTGGAAATCGCGTGTAGTTGACCCCATGGAAGTCCCTTGCCGTCAGTCTCTTTCTCAGCAACCAATGTCTTGTCGATTCCACTATCCTTCCGGCACGTGCCGGTGGCACCGATCCGCTGGTCACGGAGGGCCCGGAAGAGCTTTACTGAAGCAAATAGATTATCAAGAAACACGTGAAAAGTGGCCAATGGAAGCAAGAAAAGCAGTGATGTGACCACCCGCTGGGTCGGCGTCAAGGCTGTTCGCCGGGCCTCCTCGTCGCCGGCTGCGGGCCGGGCTTGTGCCACGAGGCCGTAGGGCCCGTCACCGTGGACGTGCCAGAGCCAGCGGAGGGAGTACCCGGCTTGCGCCAGAACCCAGACCTTGAAGCCGGTTGGAATCGGCTTCGTCGGGATCGTCGTGGTCTCCACTGCCCGGCCCGTGAAGCGGACCATGGCCTCGTCGACGGTGAGGTCGGAGCCGGCCCGGTAGAAGCGGTCGCCGGTCTCTTGGATGTGAGCTGACCACTCGTTGACTTGCTGGTACACCTTCGGCATCTGCTTCTCCCGGGGCTGCCCGCGGCGCCGGCCTGCCGTCGACGGCACGGAAGCAGGGATCTTGGCCGGGTCGAAGATCCGGATGCGGCGGAGGAGGAGCTGGAAGCGGTCCCTCGAGATAAATCGAGTAAACAAATGGATAGGATCCTCTGTCTGTTGTGAAGTAGACCAGTATTTAGATATTTTGGTTTCAGGGTGTAAGCCCATATAAATCAAAATGCCCAAAAACAAATAGACTTCGTCTACAGTCGCTGACTTCCACTTGAGACTGCGAGAGTGTTTCTTAACCGGGCCCAGCCTCGCCGAGCGCGGCGCCGCATTCGTCCACTTAACCCACCGGCCGACGAGGCTGGCCGGCACGAACTCGAGGAGGAGGTCCAGCGGCTGCGGTGGTAGGCTCCGGACCTCCGTGGGCCGCTGCGGCACCTCGAAGGGCACGAACTGCCCAGGGATACCGGGCTCAACCTCCGGAGGCTCGCGGGGCCGAACAGTGGCATTATCACATTGCTCCGGCGTACAGTCGGCAGTGCAGGCGGCGGCGAGGTCCTCGGGCAGCAGGGCAAAGATACACGACTTCGCCGAGCCCGTGGAACGGCCAGATCCGTCAGAATCGTCAGAATCCATTAATTGAGTATTGGTAATGATGGATTTGGTAGATGTACCGGAGTGGAAATCATAGGGGCAACTCAAGCAGTGGATGTACCAGATGCGGTGCGGGGTAAAAGGGGGCCCGTTATGTGGAGCCAATGTACTGTCGCCTTGCAGCACTCGATGGGATAAAATTGTGTCATATTGCAACCGTGAGGTGTGTACTGCGTGAAGGCCGTCAACGAATTTCTTCAAGGCCTCGCTGAGAACATCATAAAGTCCATATTGAGACACCCAAGCAGTGTCACCGCCGACCTCAGGGTGTTCCTCCATGCGCAACAAGGAGTAGGACGGCGGGTTGATCTCGAAAGACGTGTCGGCGTGAAAGTCTCCAGAGGGCCAAGGAGTGTACTAGAGTATTTCACGGTGATCCTCGCGGCTACCCTTAATGATAACGTACTTCACATCCTTTTGCGCGGGATGACGATCGAGAGTGCCGTAATGCTCGAACAGCTTCACTTGACCCTCAGTTGCCAGGTCCTGGTTCCGGAAGAAGACGACCCCGCGCTCGGTAACTAGGAGTGCCAGTTCATCTAGCTGCTGCGCCGAAAGCTGTGACAACTGCACACCTTCCAACACTGTGCCGATTAATTCTGTCAACTCAAATCTTTTGGTGCCTGAAAGGAGGGCCGTCTTTTTGGAATCGGCGAAAGAGGCCCTATCCTTGTCTGGGAATCTCTCCTCACGAACAGGCTCTGGTGGTACATGATCTTTGATCTTCGGATGGAAGTGGGGATGCAAGGAAATTGGGAAAGCCCGAGTCCGGGGAGACACGCTTTCTAGACTCCAAATTCGACATATTGAATAGCCTTGACAACAGTATAGAGGGCGAAACCTAGAAAAGATAGATTTCGTGTCTGAGAGGTCTACCTCCAGAAGCACAAGAACTCATGAGTCGCAAACACGACGCCGTTAATTACGGGCAGCAATTAACGCCATATATACCCTACGACATCATGTTACTTTTGCCATGATAACACGATGGCACCTTTCTCATTTCCCCTCGAATTATGAAATCAAGCACGTCAACGTCTGAATATTGCGCGATCTGACCTTGGAATGACCGCTATTGAGGCTTCCTCCTGATTTGTCGGCGATGACGTCGGCGTTTACACGTTAAAGTGATACTTAAGATGAGCTTCTCCCGCACTTTTTGAGATGCTAGCCAGAATTTTCGTCGACTCCACGTTGCTTCGATCGGGAAGAGCTCTGGAAAAAACGTTCAGTGTTACCAGAACTGGACAACACGTCTCCTCCGAAGGCACCAAAACAGAGGGCCACCAACATCAACTTTTGTTACTTCCTCGTGTTTGACATTTGATCGAGAAATCGGCCTTGCAGAGAAACAATAGTGCCATTTCAGAAGGACGCTTGATTTGCATCAGCAATTGTTTGTCGGAACACGGCCGACGTTCTGGTGAAGAGTGGCAATGCGCATGCTTCAACAATGGGAAAGTCGGCCGCTCCCGATGAATTGGGCCTTTCAATTGGCGCCAAAGACATTCGCAATTCTGAAAGCCGATTGCATCAGTATGTTACCTAAGCCTAGCTGAGTAGAGAGTGGATGCTTGAAGGTGAGATTCGAGCACTCTGAGGGGTCGCCGCCGATGGCGTGAGCGATCCAGACGATGGCATCAACGTGAGAGTGGGTCATCTTATAATACGTCGACACGGCAGACAGCCGAGTGTCGGCCCAGAAGATATGCAACAGCTTTAGCACAACCCGACAAGTTGGCTCTGCGACGCATGGTATCTGTTCAGTTCTCCACAGAAATGCTGCGACCACGGCAACATTCCGTTCCGTCGAAGCGAGAAGGCCGAGTTTGACACCTGAACAGGTAAGCCGGGATCAATGAGGGGCGAGATGTAATTTTTCCTTTTAGAATGGCTCTTGTTTTGTTTGCCGTACAGCCGTAGCTCTTGCTTGAGAATGTAAAAAAGCTTCCTGTTGCCATGTTCACCTCGCCCATCGCCGTACTGCTCCCGAATTGATACCAGCGAAACCAACCCGAACTGCGCTGTTCTTGATAATGATAGCAACGATGGACGAGATGGATGAGAAGAACGTCAACGCGGTGGCCAAGAGCCCAGAAAGCCAGAGTGACGGCGAAAATCCAGATATCGACTGGACGCCGGAGGAAGAGCGTCGGCTGGTGCGAAAGTAAGTTGCATGGCCGCTCTCAGGGTTTAGACAACTCAAGCTGATTGATGGTCATACAGAATCGATTTCATTATCATGCCGTTGTTGATCCTCGCTTTCTTTGCCCTGCAGCTCGACCGTGGCAACATGTACGAACTCTACCTAACCACACATCGTTGATCTGTCCGGGAACAGTATCTGATTAGCAACAGTGGCAATGCCTTGACGGATTACTTTCTTAAGGATATTGGAATTACTCAGAACCAGTTCAATGTTGGCCAGCAGTTGTTATCTGCAGGGATCGTCATTCTGGAAGTTAGTTCGAGGAACAGCGATCACCTACCTTACCCAGAGCACCCAGCTGACATGAATTGTAGATACCTAGTAATCTAGTTCTGTACCGCATTGGACCGACGCTCTGGATTGGAGGTCAGATTGTGGCCTGGTTAGATTTTCCCAAAGCTGTCTAGTAAGACCGTGATAGCTCAATAATACTGACAAGTGGACACTGGACAGGGGATTGGTTGCGACTTTTCAAGCATTTCAAAAAGGGCTAGGAGCATACATGGCAACTCGCATTCTCCTTGGGTAAGCACGAATATTTTCCATTGAGAAACAACATCATGTGAAGGGAACTGACAGTTCATACGTGTAGCCTTTGCGAGGCAGGTTTCATTCCTGCAGCTCTCTTCACTATGACGAGATGGTATAAGAGGGACGAAACGAGCAAGAGGTTCTCGTGGTTCTTCATTGGCAACATGCTAGCTGCCGCCTGTTCAGGCCTCATAGCGTACGGAATGTAAGTAAATCATAAGTGATAACTTGTCTTGTACGTCGAGCAAGAGCTGACAGAGTGTACACCCTTAGTCTGCACATGAGAGGTATCGCGGGACTTGCTGGGTGGCAATGGCTCTTCATTGTAAGTCAGCTTTGGTCTACGGGGAAAGATTGGCAAACGAGAAAAGACAAAACCATCGCTAACAGCACCAGCTTGAGGGAATTTTCACAATTTTAGTCGGAATCGCCTTTTTCGTTTGCTTTCCCAACCAAGTCAACAACCCAGTTTCGATGCTTGGCTTTCGCTATTTCTCCGAGCGAGAAGCCGAAATCTTACACAGGAGAGTCATGATCGACGACCCTTCCAAGGCTCACTCGAAGCGCTCAGTGAGCTGGCCAGAGCTGAAATCTGCGGTACGTGTTTGAGTTGCTAGGTCGGAGTAAACCAAGTGTAAGCTGACGTCAAATCAGTTGACGAATTGGAGACTTGTTCCACACGTTATTTTCACTATCGCTGCTCTGGCGCCATCTTCGACTCTGTCGTCTTATGCGCCGTCTCTTGTGAACTCTATGGGATTTGAGAGATTGGAATCCAATGCCATGGTTTCAGTTGGCGCTTGGCTCTTGATACCAATCAACCTCTTATGGGGATTTCTTGCGTAAGTCGTTCTGCTGCCAAGATAATCACCATCAAAACAAAACAGAGTTGACTGATGTTCGCAGCGATAAAACGGGAGTTCGTGGTCCATGGGTGTTTCTAGGCCTGTTGACATTCTGGGGCTTCAATGTTAGTTGACATTTTGTCAAGTGCTTCATCTTGGCGAACTCCCCAGCTAATTATACACAGCTTGGCAACTTCCTGCTCATTGACGCCGGCCGCAATTCGAGATTTGCCATGTTGACCCTATCAACAGCGTTCTCGTTTCCTTGGCGTAGGTTCAGATCCTTCCGAATACACGGCGTCTTCATGTAACTGACGCGCATTACAGACCCTGTCAACGGCGCTTGGGTCTCTGCCAATGCCAAATCCGCCGGTGAGCGTTCTATCACCATGGCTATCCTCATCATGGCTGCCAACTGTTCAGGCATTGTTGGCAAGCAGCTTTTTAGAGAAGAGGATGCACCAAAGTATCGTAACGGATGGACCGTTATAACAGGCCTCACTACTGCCGCCGCAGCTTGTGGTATTTGGGCCAATGCCCAGTACTATATTCTCAACAAACGAAAACTGAATCGAACAGGACTCTCTTATCAGTACTAATGAGTATGCTAGCGAGAGAGTGGAGCGGCATGGTTTCGACCTTTGGATATTAACAAGGGACTCAGGGGGCGGCGGGCGAATGATGGACATCGAGTAATTCGTCAATGCCTTTGGCGAGCTTGGCTTTCCCACAACGTGTTGAAAATCACGGATGCCAGTGTGCGATTACACACGCTCAATTCGGGCTCAAGGGGCTTTGCCTGCTTTGCAAAGATCGGCTGGCAGAAGAACCGTCGAGTGGACAGGGCTTGGCCGTGCCTGAATTGTGGCCGTCTCTAGCGGGCGCTTTGCCATCGAAACAATCGATGTAAATGGCAGAGTCATGACTTGCAAACAGACATAGTGGGCCAAGTCCGGGCAAAGGTCTAACCTGGAACACTTTGGATCAGATTAGGCTTGGGCAGAACTCACGTTATCAAATCAATCCATCTATTAGTCCTATCAAGTTCTCTCGGCTCGTCATCGGCTCCGGCCTCCACGTCGCGCCATGCGTTTGATGTTGAACTTCCTCGTCCATCGCTCGCACAACTTTCCTGTAGTGGTCTATGAGGGACTCAGGATAGTCCGCAAGGTCTGGGATAGTCCATTGGTCATAGCAGGCCCCGTGCGTATTAGCCGCGAAATAGGTCCCATGATGTCGGATGAACAAGAAGCAGAGGTAGCAAAAGTACTTGGAGGCGCCGAGACATCTTGGCTTGTGCCAAGAACTTTCAGGCTTTTCCAAGTCGTGATGTACGGACAGAATGACTTCTGCGTGCACGTGAGTAGATTTTGCCCACGGCTGGTAGGCGAGAGCAAGCGGCACTGCCTCGTAGGGAGGTAAGAAAACGAGTTCAGCGCTGTTGAAGATCATGGGGTGTGAGTGGGACAAACTAGTCAAAGTTTGACAGATGCGATAGTAAGCTGCGATCTTTTCTAGCTGACGCAGGGTTTTGAGACAAGCCTGGATTTGAGCTGTTGCCCTGATAGCTTGCAAGCGTTCTAGATAGTTCGCAACCAGGGTGGACGCGCAAAGTTGGTAACTAGACTGCGCGATCTCGACCAGCTTCCCGTGGTCGTCTGGGTCTGTCTCGAAAGCTTCTAGCAGGGCGGCCATCTCCGAGAGTTTACACTCTAGCGCTGCCCGCGTGGCTGATTCTTTCTTGGAGTAGAGAAATTGTGCACGGTGTATGAGGTTGGCGAAGTCGGCATACAGGGGTTTTTTGTGAGTGCGGGAGAGATAGATTGGCTTCTTCCATTTTGCGGATCGAAGCCGGTTGAGAAGGCGGGTTTGGTGATGCCGGATGACCAAGTCCAAGAGGCTATGTAAGGGCTTGGCAGGCAGCGGGGTAGAGAGGATTTGGAAAACAGAGCGTAGGAAAGCCTGGGATTCGGGCTCGATCGCGTCTGCGGAGGCTATGGTGACCTTGAGACTTGCTGGGAGTGTTTGTTGATCTTGACTGGAGCCTCCATCGGGACCTCCAGTTGTAGCGTCGAGTTGTATCCGACTTTCTTGGACAGTGGCGGCAGCAACGGACTGTGCTCCCTCGCCAACAGCAATCAAGTAGGCAATATCGTCTGCCAGACGTTGCTCCGTGGCAATTGTCAGCAGGCGAGAACGGGAATGCTGGACTTGGTCGGCGCCCTCTCTGTGCGAGACATCCGTTACGATCGCCACTGGGGACACATCTGCAAGCACTTTAACACGTGCTTCCGCATTGCCATCTGAAGAAGCTGTTGAATAGGATGGCAGCGGGAACGATTCAGCGTCGACAGGAACAGCATTGGTCAGCTTCTCCAACGATACCACATGTTGGCGAAAGACAGCTTCGGGGAGATCTCTCCAGATGGACGATGCTGGCGAGGCAGTGACAGTCGGGCGGGGGGGGTTAAGTCCGCTTGACTCGGAACCAAAGTCCGTCGGTAGCGCGTCTAGCAGAGGAGACAGGGAGAGCGACATGGGTAATGAGAGCGGAGATGTGTGTGTATGTCCGTATGTGTATGTATATCCGTATGTGTGAGAGTGAAAGTTTGCCAAGGATTGGTTTGATGTGTTGTGTCGTTGATGTTGAATGGGTGGGTGAGGGAGGATTGAGGCTTGGCCGACTGGGTTGGTGCAAGGCTGCGACCCTCTTGGCTGTTCTTTCTGTTCTTTCCTTTGAGCAACTCGAATGACTGGTGATAAGCCCTGAGGTGTTGTTGGAATATGATTTCCCTCCTGACCTTTCTGAAAGTGGAAGAAACCCGCCGCGCCAAGCCGAGATGTGGGAGGAGATTGAAAATTGGAATAATATTTTCTCTCCAGAATTATAGATTCCAGCAGGTCCACCCGATGTCCCGCCTCCACCTCCACTGAAAATAATCTGCTGCTGTCGGAGAGGGCCTGGAGTCCTGCACGGAAACCTTGAAGTCAAGGCCGATCTATGCAGCCAATTACGCGGCGGCCTTCATCTGTCGCAGTGCCGCAGTCCTGAATTTAGTGTGCCAAGATAAAACGTTATTGCACGCTAGGGATCTCGGCAAGCTGCACTGGGCAGGGCATCCTTCTGGACTCTGGACTTTGGAGGGACGACCACCTCCCGCCTGGCGCAGTGGATGCAAGTCGTGGGATGGTGGGAGAGCTGCTGAAGAGAAGCCTGGAGGATGGGATGAACGAGTATGAGACCTAGCGAGTGTTGTAATAAGTGGACGTTAATTTCTATGAAGCCATTGTCGAGTGTTCCTAGACCTTTCACTCAAGAGTACTTACCTTACTTGATAATTAAAGTGCTCGCAGATTGTTATGCGCAAATCTTGGCTGATGACGGAATAGCTCAAAGTTTCCTCCCATCCCAAGGATCGCTTGCTGTTTCCGTTCCGATCTAAAGATAAGCCATAGCTGTCAGGAGTCAGCAAATACTGCTTTTCACTACTTACTGGTTGTCCATTCATACAGAAGTGCAGATACCAGACGAACACACAGCCGCTGCGCCGCAAGCAGTGAGTTTCGTCTCCTGTGAAGGTATCCGCAAGAATCAGGGGAAGGCGACGAGTCAACAAAGAGCCAATGAGCGGATACGAGAATCCCAAGCGGCGCCCAGGCGGTACCCGAGAGTGAGACACCAGCCGCTGGCGCATGTCAGTGCTCAGATGCGCCGCCCGGTTCCTGTTCCAAGGTGTCGGTACGCCCGCTCGAACCCACGGAGAAACGGCGCCGCCATGCCCGATGAAGAATGTCGGTCGTGTCCCAGGGTCTTGTCCTTTGGGAGGAGGTCTTGGAAAAGTCTTGGGAAAGTCTTGGACTTTTCCTGGGCCATTGAGGAAACGCCGCAGCTAGATATTTGCCAAGACAGACCATTCGTGGCTGTTAAGATGGACTAAGATGGGTTCCAAAGGTCTTGGCAACAGTCAACATGAAGAAGCTCTTGCGCTCCGGGCTCAAAAGCACTTGACAGGTAATGGGTAATGGAATACACATGACAGGTTAAGCTAGTTTCAGTCCTCGCCTACGCTTGCCGGACTAAGGTACCGGTATGCAAAAACCTAGAATGCTATAGGTAGTCTCGGGCATGGTACGAATATTCATACACACTGCTCCGTACGTGCACAGTAAAGAGTAAAGTCACAATGCAACGTGGCTGTGTGCCAAAAATGCATCCTGGGCATGTCCACGAGCAAACCCCTTCCCCTTCAGTCTTGGAGGCTCTTGGCTCGACATAGACCGACCTGCGGGCTCATCTCTGGCGGCGTAGGCTCCAATCAGCGGAGCCACAATGACCCAGGCGCATAGTTCTTCTGGGCCCTAAACTTTATCTTGACCAGCATCAAACACGCAGGGCTCAGTTTACCTGCGTCTACGCCGACCGCTTAGCCCTCACCTCACCTCACGATGGGCCTCTCTACATTTGCCGCACCGAGTAAGGCGCGCGCTCTGGAACCCCCGGAGCCCTGTCCCCAGTCCTTGGCGTCAGCGTTGTCGCATCACCATCGGTCCTAACTAACAACCCCACCACTGTCACGGGCTGGCAGCTGCTCGTGCTCTTCACGTCTTCCTGTCCCATCTTCTCCGCCCTGCTCCTTCGATGCCATGTGCGGTGTTCGCAAGTCCGCTCTAGCCAGTTCGGACGATTTCATCACTCAGGAACAATTGTATGAGCCTATCCCAGTCAGTGGCGGCTATTCTTGAACACGGATGACAGAGGTTAATGAAGATGTGGCCACCAGCAGGGCGAGTCAGCCGCTCACAGACCTGCGTCGGCGCCGAATGGCTCCCTCAACCTTCTGTCACCACTGAAGCTGAGTCTCTTGCATTGTTGGGTTGGAGTCTTGGAGGACCCTCTCGTCCCTCTTTTGCTTGGCCAAGATTCACCATCTACCACTTGGCCAAGACTTACATATCTGCTCAATATCGCGGGATGTGGTGTTCACGCGGGATAACGTGGTGTGACCTCCACTGGCATTGCGACGCCTATCGCCAAGCGCTCGCCAGTTTGACTTTTTGATGACAACCTGTTCCGGGCAATCTTTCGGCGTCCTTTTCCAGGTGTCTTTCTGGCAGCGTTCGCTACTATGCTTCTCTTGGACCCGACTTCTTCTGAACGTGGAGAGGCCCCCCTTCCGTTCTCGTGATGTGTTTCCCATGTCCTGACTCTTATCCCTGCCAGTATTCCCCCTGGTCCCGTCCGCGATTGATCATTGCCAAGCACGTGGTCGCAAAGAGGTCCGCCCCTTCCATACTCCGAGCAGATAGCTGGCAAAAGCCTGCCAGTCCATCAAAGGGGCTTGGGATTCTTGCGTCTTGACCAGGTAAACATGCCAAGACGTTGCTTTCTACGCAGATTGGTGCCATCATGGCGCCATGAAATTAATATCGCATCTCGTTGTCATAGCTTCCCGCTCCTTACGATTAACTACCACTCTGCAGTGCTGGTGTATATTTACCTTTAGATCTGCCGCTGTCTAATCTGATGTTTCATAGAGTTACTCACATCTCACTTCACTGAGAACCAGTCACTCTTTTATCCTACTCTACGATCGCTTGTCCTATACAATCTTTGTTCTCACAATGAAGTCAGCCACTATCCTCTCCCTCATTCCCGCGGTCGCCACCTTCTGCCACCATGGAACCAGCCTTTTCAAGAAGGATCAGCTTTTTAAAAGGGCTGATGGTACCTTTGGATTCGATGGCCTGAATGGCCCCCTGAATTGGCACTCCATCAGCTCCAACAACTCTGCTTGTGCTCTTGGTAGAAGCCAGTCTCCCATCAATGTTCAAGAGTCAAACACCAAGCAGATTCAGGGCTCGACCATCACTTTCAGCCCCGACCAGCATCCCGAGGGTGGCGAACTTGAGAATCTCTCTGGATTCCTCGAGGTCCGCGCAAATGGTACTATGAAGAATGGCGGCAAAACCTACAACTTGCGTCAATTCCACTTCCACACCCCTAGTGAGCATCGTATCAACGGCGAGCACTTCCCCCTCGAAGTTCATTTTGTTTGGGAGGCTGAAATTGGAAATGGTGTGTCCTTGCTAATACTGATTCTTTGCAATCCCGTATGACATGGCTAATCATTATCTAGGCTCCTCTCTCGCTGTCGTTGGCTTCCCGATTGAGGTTGCTGAGACTTCCGACCCTCTTTTGGCCGCCGTCTTCAAGAACGTTGACAAGGTCACCGAGTTCGGATCACACGCTGAAACTGGACCTCTGGACTTCACCAGTCTGTCCGAGCATATCGCAAAGAACACCATCTACCAGTATGTCCATTCTATCGACTCGTGGAAGCCTTTCCGAAGATTGATCTAACATGTACCAAAGATACATAGGCTCTCTCACCACCCCTCCTTGCACTGAGTCTATTGCCTGGAACGTTGTTGGCAGCCCGATCCCCCTCGATATTGCGACCTACCTGAAGACGAAGAGCATCATGAAGTACAACGCCCGCTATACCCAGAACAGCCCTGGTGAAATGAACTTGTTGGAAAACGCATATGAGAGCCTCAAGAAGATTATTGAGAGTGAACAAGGTACGAACTAGATTTACTAGATGATCTTCAAAATTGAACACATTTTTGTTACATTCAATGGAAGCAACATAGGATCGAGTCTTAGACTTGGCGATTGAAGCTACAAACCTTGGAAGCTGGGCAAGGTGCTCTGATAATGAGCAATGCCAAGTGAGACATGGAATTCGCTAAACATGGGTTCAGCCGCAGATCCCGTTGACGAAAGTCCGTGCAAGACGAAGAACAAGAAGGGCGGACGCAGAGACTAGACAGATTCAACAACAACATCAACAAGCCATTGAAACGCCGTCGGCAAGTAGAGGATTTGACACGTGCGTCACTTCCTCATCCAAGTTGGCGTCAACAATGTCGGGTCAGACGCCGGGCATCGTTCAATTCATTAATCGAAAGAAGATGTAGACAGTGGACAGCGGGTGCGGTATTAATTCATTAGAGAAGCGCCTTCCAACACGCCATCGCCTGGAACCGTTTATATATTCAATCTACAACTAATCAGTAACCTATGAAAACCTTCCCTTCAAGCTACTTGAAAATTGACTCAATGGCATCCATGCACCCATTGAACATCTCGTCCAACATTCCAGCTAGGACCGGTTTGAAGGTTGGCTCCGTCCACTCAGATGCGCCCGACCAACTGAATTGTGTTTTTATATCGCTGATGGCTGTCAATTTCAGTGTTCCACGGGGGTGTTTCGTGTTTGGGACGCCGCCGAGAATCAGGTAGGTGATGGTGTGTCTCGGGATCGGCTATCTCGAATCGCTCGTGGACCACATGACCGTTGTTGAAAGTCAGTGTGCGAATTGACCCGATACCAAATCCCTCAAGACTGGACTGGATGACATTGGGGAACCAGAGCTTTTCGGAACCAAAAGCTGCAATGATTGCCCAGACATCGGAAATTGGTGCATCGATCACTCTCACAATTTCCTTCGTCTTGTCCTGTGCCATGATGCCGGAACGAACGGCAGTAAGATTTGAGATGAGGTTGAGTTTAGCTTGAGGAAACAGCGCTTTGATTAGATGAAAAGAGATCAATCCCTCCCGGGAAACAAATTGTGTATGTGCGCCGGTAGATTTTCTCTTTTGAAGCCCGTTGCAGCCGGTGGGATATGATTAATTGAGCCTGTGGGATGTTTGTCTGCCCCCGGCCGACGGCCGCGGGATGCGACGGAGCGATCGCGGACGTCACAGGCCGCAGGCGGACTTGGCGCAGATGAGATCCGAGCTTCAAATGCCCGATTTCCGCAATCAAGACTTGACCTGAGACATTCAAGTTCACTGTATTGAGTAAGCGGCGAATTTCCTACATTGTTCCTGTGAGGGATGAGATACCTAAAATTGCTCAATGATTCTCTCTAGTACCTTATCTTGGTGCAGGAGTACTGGCAAATGCTGTAACTGGACACATTGTCAATGGTCACAACGCAAAGTGCCGACAATGAATTTGGAACCGTCGAGGAAATTCTCTCTCTTTGCCGTTGCACACAATCCATCCTACTGAAAATCTAGCCCGGGGCTTAAGGGGCGATAACAATTTCTCCAGGTTCTCTTCTGTGATCTGCGGCATCCCAAGCCTCTTCCCAAGATTCCAAGCCAAACGTTCTGACCGGCCCCATGCCAGCTCGCTCCCCAAGTGGCAAAATACCGCGTTCCACTAATTTTATGAGTCGTTTGGTGTGTGTGTGTGTTATATTTAACGCCGTGGCGGCAAGGGCGCAGCCGCCCTTGCGGCCGACCTCCCGAAGGGTATATGGCGTGGAGAGCCGTCGCCCTATAACTATTGCTAGATACAGTTCAAATCGTCCTCCAAATCGTGCCTTATGGCTACTATGCGTTCTATCTGTCCCTGGTTCCCGCTGGTGCCCCAGTTCCATTCTTGAATTTTGCGGCCTAAGGCCGGATATGTCTGGAGAGGGCGGCCTGCCCAAACAGGCCCCTCGTACATGTTCTGATTTGTACAAGACCATTCCTGCCCCAGTACTTGGTTGACGACGTGTACTCGCCGCATATCCACTTTTTCTTGGTCGGAGGGTGTGGATATGAGAAAACCCTGGCGAGGGCCCGGAAAGGGTCCTAGGCCCCGTATTGGGCTCTGCCCTACCCTTCCCACAGGTAGTTAAAGCAGTTGCCGGCGGCTGGAATCGAACCAGCGACCTCTGGGCTCCAGAGGCCTTGCCAGGTGTATGCCACTACACCACGCCGGCAAGATGTAGAGTAAAGAGCTAAGGAAATGAGCTGGATTGAGAAAATCGTTCACCGCATCGTCGCCAGTCATTTTTTTGCGTATGTTTCATTTCGACATGTCTTGTTCCTCTCATGTGAGGCTCGGAGGACGAGTAAGCGTTTATGGGCTTGTTAATATCAACGCTTGATCGTCATTGTTAGAGACATATATGTTGGCAGTGGGGTCTCATTGAGACTGCGATATTAAGCAAGGTAGCTCATTAGTTATTATCACAAACGATAGAATGCTATCAGGAGTAAGATTGATTTGAGCTCTAACGCCCCTGATGTTGTTGATGATGATGATGATGTATTTAACGTCTGGTAACAAAAGGACATGCCGGGCGCTATGCCGACATGGTCTATGCTAATCTAAACTATGTTACAGGCTACCGTCTTCACCTAACGTTCCTGTTCAATGACTCGGGCAAATTTCGGAAAAGAAATTGGTCTCCTCTATCCATTCGCATAGAAGAGAGGCTCCCTTAGCAGAACCTAATAAGAAATTAATGCTTGCTTTGGCCATACGTTGGCGGAGGTAGCGCGGTGTAGCCTTGCGTCCACGCTTGCAGAAGTAGAAATGGACTAGTATCTTAGGTTTCCTATAGCTGCAGTTGAGCAACGCATCTTGATGAGCAAATCTCTCGTGGTATACTGCAAAGTCTCCATAATAGGATCTTGCTGCGTATAGCCTTCCTAATAAGTGCCGAGGGAGGCGGAGTTCGGGCGGCTTGGGGTGAAGAATTATCTCGAGGTCGGCATATTGCCGAGGGCATTGGGACAGCCATTTTCTGGCAAAGGCTTGGAAGGCAGCTGCTTTAGCTTGCCTTTCTAGGTGCGCTAATGAGGGCTGTGGTTGTGATTTTGGGATTAGTTTGTAGGCTTCCTTGGCTAGAGCATCCGCTTCTTTATTTCCTGGTATTCCCGTGTGCCCAGGGCACTACCAAATATAAACCCTGCCGGGGGTTGTCCAGCTCTCTCTTTGTCTCCGAGTCTAGGAGGAAGAGAGCCTATTGAAGGCCCTAAATCTAGCCTGGCTGCTTCCTGTGCTCTGGGAGTATAGTCTAGCCGCGACTGCGAGGTTGTTAAGGTAGATGTGGACGTTATTTACTATACGAGCCGTAGGAGCCCGGGTGGCTTCTATCAGGCCGTGATACGCAGCATATGCCTCCGCGTCATATACCTTAATTTAGGAGCCGAGTAGTTCGGATCTGCGGAAGATCTGCCGTATAGCTTAGTACCCTACCTAGCCTGCTCCGGCGGAGGTATTACTGCCGTCCGATATCTAGGACCCGTCGGTATAGATAATAATGTCCTGCTTAGAGAAAGTTGCCATCCTGCCTGCAAAGGAGAGGGCCTGTTCTTCTTTGGTCTTATTAGGTTCGTAGCCGACCCTGGCGAGGGCTATCTGCCAGTCCGCTAGTTGCTCCCAAGGGGGGAGTTCTAACGGATCGATATATTCGGTATTTTTGCTTACGAAGCTTGCCATTCGTCATAGCCGTGAGTCTGGTCCTGATTTGTCCCTGAGTCTCGTTCGGAGAGGGTGTCGCTCGTCCAGACGATGGATTCTGGTGGACGCTGTGTGGAGCTTCGCGTCCAGTATCACCTCTGCTAGGGGTAGAGCCGCCTCGCGCTATAAGATCGGTACAGGCGTCGTTCTGTATACGGGGACCATCGCTCTAATAGCTTTAGTTTGCATCGCATCCAGTTAGTATAGCATACTACCAACCCCGTTTAAGATAGTACGTCCATTCTTTATCCGGCTCTTGCCGGGCCACCATACTTCAGATATATAGTACTAAGTAGGTAATATATAAGAGGTAATTGCTTAACGAAGTAAGTACGTAGGCGCGCCCTAGATAGTGTTCCCTAGTCCCTGTAGTCCATTAACTACTTAGTATGCCTTTACGGAGAGGTTTCTTACGTAACTTTTAAACATAAGTTTATAGTCAAAGTGAATGCCGAGCCAGCATAGAGAAGAGCCTTCTTTAATAGCCTGAACTATATAATGCCTCCTATCCGGTAAACCTACTATAATTAATAGGTTTCCGTTTTTTCGTCTCTTGGTAAAGCAGATTAGTTCGGACTTATCGAGGTTAAAAGTGATTCCTTCCGTTGCGCCCTATCCTAAGGTTTCTTTTTATTCCTTAGTTAGGATGTCACAATTATTCTTTAATAATATTAAGCTTACCAAGATAGCGATGTTATTAGCATAGCCAAAACGAGATCGCTTCCTTCTTGGGCGAGCTATGCCTAGCTTAAAAAGAGGTTCAATATAGAGTATAAATAGAATGGGAGACACGGGTAAGCCTTATAGTAGTCCGTATTCGAGACCGAAGACGTCTCCTACCTCCCTATCAAGCCTTATTCTTACTCTCCTTCCGGTAATAAAACTTAAGACTTAGCATACGAGGTTCTCCGGCCATCCTTATTCGCGGAGGCGTCGGACTAGTCGTCCTAGGAGCACTACGTCGAAAGCCCCTTTTATATCGAGCATAAGCATAGAGGTAACCAGGCCTCTTTGCCAGGCGCACTCGATATCGTAGATGGCCGCTGCGATGAGGTCGCTATAAGAGCGAAGAGGGAGTGCTCCAAACTATTAATCGTACAGAACACGATATTTAACTACGATCTAGGTAAGTCGTCTGGCGATGAGTCTCTCCAAGCCTTTTCCGAGGACGGCCAAGAGCGCAATTGGCCTATAGGAGCGCGGGAGTGTCTTGTCTCTTTTTCCCGGTTTTGCTAGGATCACGAGAGTTGCTTCTTTAAAACAAGTAGGATGCTAACCCTCGCGTATATACCCGCTATAAAGTAAGAGGATAATATCCTCGATAACTAGCTATGCTATTTTTAAAGCAGCCGTAGTGATTCCGTCGGTCCCAGGAGTCGTATTTCCCGCGGTGAGAACCGAAGACCGTACCTCGTTCTTCGTAACCTACGGGAAAGGAAGCGTAGCTTGCCTTTGTAAGACTGGGCTTTCTGTTAGTATGTCCTCGGAGATTATAGCGTTTTTAAGGAGGACGCGGGTAAATAAGTCGCGCTTCTCTTTTGGTTATGAGACAAGCGTGTCTTGGTTATCTATATCTCGGAGTGGCGGGGTCTGAAAGGATCCTATGGCTTTATACTAACCGACCATTTCAAATATGTCTTTGCTTGAGGAGGCTGAGGAGATCTTATCTTTCTAAAAGGCATCCTTGGAGCGTTTAAACTCGTAAAGGAAGTCCTGTTTTAGAGCTTCGACCTCCTCTTCTTCCCATTGGCAGTTCACTCCGGCTACACGGAGTCTTACTAATATCGCTCGCTTATTCGCATAGGCTCGGTATTTACGTATACAGCTTTCGCTCCAGTATGGTCTCCCTATACCTTTCCCGAGCGTACGCTTTATGGAAGCCGTGAGTACTTTATTAAGATAGTCTATAAGCTATTATACTAAGAGATCTAAAGACTGTGGGTCTTAGATATTGCTTACAGTGCGGCGTATAGGTTATAAGTTACGTTTAATAATGCCGAGGAAAAGCTCCTCGTCCATCGTGTCGAGCCGAAACCTTCCCGGGGTCTGGCTAGGTGAATCGATCAGGGCCAAGGGGACCCGGGTAAGCAGAGATTCGTAGTCTGATGTCGTATGTAGTGACGTTTCTATGCTAGTGGAAGCCCCGTGGAGGTTGCTGGACGCCCAGCATAAATCTAGGGTGTTGCCGCCCTTATGCGTGGGTTCACCTATAGGTAACATTAGGACAAGGCTGGCGGCTTCTGCCCATTCTACTAGGTTTTCAGCGTCCGGGGAACTCATAGCCTCGGGCTACCACGTCCAATAGTATAAGTTAAAATCCCCCGCAACCAGTACTCGATCCTCAGGTTTGGGTTGCCAGGCCGCTAGGATGTTCCTAAGAGCCTGGCCAGATTATAAAGAGCCACGAGGGACGTTATATACGTTAATAACTATAAGGACCTCCTTCGTTCCTAAGAGGAGTCATAAGAAGAGCAGGTCTATAGATGGATCGGGTAGAGGCCGTGTTTATACGCTTCGTACCCCAGTTCCTCTACGGAGGTAGGTAAGTACCCTAGGACGGTCTTCGGTCTAGTTATCCACTAGGGTGAAAGTCTCAAAACCTGGGTGGTGTCTTATGAGCCTCCTCTCCTCCGAACGGATAGATGGCTCTTATATTAGGAGTATATCGATCTAGGCTACGTAAGCTAGGTTTAGTACTATTTCGTAGGCGGATACCCGCCTACCTATATTTGCTTATATAATTTATAAGGTTTTAGAGGGCTATATTCTTTTTTTATATCTTATTCGCCGGGGTATAGTCCATTACTTATTCTTCTTTACGGGAATATCGATACGACTACTGGGTCGCATTTCTCTACAATCTTTCTCCCTTAGCTCGGATGGCCCGTAGCTGAGCCTTATCCCTCCTCTAGGCTACCCCCTTCACCACTTTGGGTTAGATAGGGCAAGTCGCATCGAAGGCGGCGTAAGGCCCGTTACACAACGGGCATTTAAAGGGGCAGTCGCAGCCATCATGACCCTCAGTACCGCCACAGGGTGCCCGGTGTTGATCAGTTGTGTAGGAAAGAGAGCTGCACTTAAGGCATCTCTTCCTTCTAATACACGTTCGTTCGCTATAAAAACCGCCGTAGCGGAGATATTAAGGAGACCTCTTCTCCTTCGGGAACTACAGGTTTATAAAAACGCTAACCCCTATTAAACAGAGGCGTCTTAATAATTGCCTTACGGCTTCCGCCTTAAACCAGGCTATTACTATGCCTAGCCTTTCAACTTCGTCCTTCTTAGAGAAGTATACTTTTTCAGGCTTAAGTTTCGTCGAGACCTGGATCTCTTCAAGGAGCTCCTCGGTCGTGATTTCTAGCTTAGTATTGGTTACTAGACAATACCTAATATAAGGGACGTTTACGATATAGGCTCGGATCTAGGTATCGCGTTACTCGATCGCTTATACTTAGAGAAGGGCAGCGATCTATTCTCTATTCTTTAATAGGACTTTTGCACTATCTATTAACGAAGGTAGGAGTGCTAATCCTGTCTTAACATAGTCGATCCCCTTAAGGGCTTCTCGGGCTTGGGGACTTAGCCTTTCCCGAACAAAGATATATATATCGTAGGCTTTCTCGTTCCGAAGCGGGCTTTTAGGCAATAGACGCGCGAAGATACGTAAATCCTTTAAGGCCGCCCGGTTTGTAGCTTGTTTTGCGGCTTGTTTGGCTGGCGTTGGTTTATCCTATCTTCTGGATAGTGGCTGGCTCGCCACCGCTGCGTATGAACGGACTAGGGGCGGCTAGTTCTGGGTTATGTACGAGGGATACCCTAAGAACTCAGGTCAGTCTCGCTAGGCCCTATGCCAATAGCGTGTATAGACCTTACTAGACCACGTTGATACCGGTTTGAACGCTGTTTCTCCTCCTGAAGCTCTTTATCTAAGGATTCGATCTTCGTTAAACAGTCTTTTAAAAACTATTCCCTCTCGGCGTCCCGACGTAGGAGGTCCTGGATAAGATTCGAAAGCTTATTGATCTCGTTTTTAAGCTTAGAATTGTCCTAGTGGTTGACCTGCTTAACCACTCTGACCTTTGTAGTTGGCTTCCGGACTCGTCCCGACCGCCGAGATATACCGGCGTCCCTGTGAACCGTGATCGATGGCCCTATATCTAGGGAGACCGCCATGGTCGTGGAATTCAGCTCGTATGGGCTGATGTTGAGAGATGATAGTGCAGTGGGCCGTAGCCCTCTATAACCTTAATAATTACTAAACAGTGGGTACCTTTCGAGGTATGTGCAGGAGACCGCCCCTGATGTTGAACTATCTCACTGATTCCGTCAAGACCAGTGGACTACCTCGCACCCACGTGACACCCTGGTGCAAAAGCCGCAAGACTGTGGAGACATGTGGTTGAGCCAGCATCTGTAGGTAATAAAAACTCACTTTATGTAAGCAACTGATTATTGCATCAACCCCTCTTCACGTTGTGGCTTCGAGCGCGTTCCTTCTTTCCTCTCAGCATGCCAAATGGCTGTCTATTCACTTCAAGTAATGGCTGACGCTGCTCACGCAATCAATAGCCTGTCCTCATTTCTATCACATCAAGAGATCAAAGATGTAGACGGTCTGAATCAGTTCCTTCAATCTCTTCCAGAACCTGCTCCGAGCAGCTTAGGACGGCACCAACCCACCGATGTGATCGTCTTTTGTGCCTCTTCGGTTTTGTCACTGGCGGATGTAGTTTTCTCGGCCGTGACCACCTGCGAATTGAAGTCGAACAAGCAAGTTGCCAGGTATACAAATGGCCCAATGCTATACGATTAATAATTATTCGATTAATTACTGATCATCATGTTTAGAGAGGGACGAAACACGGTTATGGTCCTATGTGGTGGGATTGGTCACTCGACGCCATTTCTCTATGAAGCAATCAACAAGCACCCGGTCTACAGCGCGATTGCCGATGAAGTACAGGGAAAAGCCGAATCGCGTGTATTGCAACTCATAGCCGAGCGCTGGTACGGCATCCAGACCCATGATGTCGGAACTGCGGAAGCAACTATTCAGCCAAATGATACGAACAAACTTTTGGTTGTAGTTGAGGATCGCTCTACAAACTGTGGAGGGAATGCAGCCGAGTCAAAACATGTCCTCGAGGCCTGTGGGATCCACTCACCGAGATCCATTGTCATAGTGCAGGACCCGACAATGTCAAGACGAACGGTAGCCACTTTCCAAAAGGCATACGAGGGAGAGTCCAGCGTTGTACCTCGAATCAAGAGCTGGCCTACGTTCATTCCCAAAGTGAAAGTAGTCGATACATTGAAGGGGCCTATTGACAAGGATATCATGGTTCAACTTGAATTTGCCGACGAGCAGTATGACCATAAGACGTCAAGCGGCATATGGAGCATGCAACGCTTCGTTGATTTACTCATGGGGGAAATTCCTCGCCTCAGAGACGACGGCGAGGGCTATGGTCCAAGGGGTAGAGGGTTCATCGTTCGTGTTGATATCCCGGAGAGCGTCGAAACTGCCTGGGCACTACTTTACAGTCTGATAGGGAGACAGGGCAGAAGCTGATGGAGTTAACGTGGACAATAATGATAAAGTGATCTAGATATGCGTCACTGCCATGAGGTAGTCGAATGGGAGCCTCAACACCGAGACAGAACGCGTGGATCACGTTCTATGATGCCATACTTCAGTGGGAAGAACATCAGCCAAGTCCAGGCCACCATGCAGGTGCTATCTCATCGGGTGCGGATGGACCCCATTTTCGCCAAGGGCGGGGTAACCCAATGAGATTCATTGCCTGGAAATATCTAGAAATATTTGCCCAATCAGATGCTTATATATGGGCGTTTTTGGAGTAAAAGTGGGTAATTCTGGTCTTGGCGAAAATGGGGTCCATCCGCACCCGATGGGATAGATTGTACACGATGTATGGTTCGCGAGACGGTTTAGTTGATTCTGTAATTTGCGGGGTATTTAATATCACACGTGTGGCTAGGAGGTACCTTCACATCTTGTCTTTTTTGAACCAACCAGAATAAAATAATCTTTCACCGCATTGTATATGTTGTCTTGGCTCGTGATCAACATCAATACCTGGGCATAAGTCTCGTACTTAGTCAAGTATGCTCCGGAGGCTCTCATCGAAAACCGTTGTAGAATTACTCATACCAATGCTTGATTACTATGTTATCTTTGAACGGAGTACTGGGGATAAATTGAAATTGAGGGCCAATCGAACTGGACAAATCTCACTAATATACGACGAGGTTTGGCCTTTACTGCAACGTCAAATTTGGAGCAGCGAGGACATACGATATTATGTATATTTGTTGCCATGATCCAATCCTTAGACCAACTTGAACATACGGTGAATCCAGACTCCTTCAACTTGGCCTTCGTCGTGCTAAATCGCATCGAGAACTATGCTTCGCGTACCCAGCACCCCGCGAAGCCTCTCATTGTCTTTGTTGGCTCCTTCCATTTAGAGTCCACAGCATCCATGAGATACTGCGAACAGTGCTCAGTGTGCCCAGGGCTGGTGACGATGGTGTCAATTGCAGCCCGCTCGTCGTACAGAGCGTAAAATTGGCGCCGCCACATGATAGCGCAGTGGTTGATGTGATCCCGGATCGAAGTCCAGTAGAAGTCTCTTTCTGACATATCGTCGATGGTCAACTGCTGCGTCATGTTTTTATCCGCAAATGCCCCCCAACTAGCATCTTCTTGATATTCATCGACGGAGTCCTTGTCAAAGCACTGCGCTGGGACCCAGTGATTCAACAAGACGTCGTATTTGCAACCCTTTGCCCTTGCCTCTTGTGTCGTGGAGCCGCAAGAAATTCTTTTTCTACCGGTGGTTATGTTATGTCGCTGGCCAGCTGCATAGGTAGTCGAAGCCTGGGAAAGTGCAGTGCCTTGGGACGTTGTTGTCGCAGCTGGTGTCGAAAAGAACAGAAAGAAGACTAGTATCCATACTAGTGATGTGCCTATGAGTACGAGAGCATGAGAAAAAAGCGTGCTCCGACGGGTTGATGGTCGATTTGGTGATGTTGGCTCTTCGGTCGTCGGGTCGTCCGAGTATTTCAGAAAGGGCTGATATTCGGGTATTGAAGACATTCTGGGTGTGAAGTTGCATGCAGATAGCTTGATGGTCAGATGGGACTACGCTCCTCATCACCGACTGCGCTTGCAAGGAAAACTCTCAATTTTTATTCAGCTCGTTGAACTATCCGTGCACTGAACTCATGCTGATTTCGCTCTAGGAGGGCTGTGCGGAAACTCGCATGTTACAAGTGCTGTTTTGGATTGCCACTCACTGCACCTGTATTGATAACTGAAGCGCTTGGGGGGCTGTTTCATCTGGAAATTCACGTTATTGATCCGGCCTCATGTTTCAGTAAGACTGAAAGTCCATTGGGTAATTCGATGTCGTGCGTCCCTGCGCCCCGCGCGATTGGATCGCCGCCCCAGACTCGAAGCATAACCTACCTAAGCATAAGGACAATTTCTTAAGTTCACTGCAAGATTAAGCCCATGGACGAGCTTCCCGTGCTACGATCGACGCGGAAGAAAGGATAAGGGATTTGACATATCCCAGAGAAGATCGGACGACCATGGAAGAGTGTTCGCCCTGAAATTACTTGTACACCGTGCTCGCAGTGGCAACATTGTAATGATCTCTGTGAGGCGCAATTGAATTAAACCCCTTTGTTTCTTACCCTCAGTTTGAGAATCCCCAACGTCCCGCGCCGTCCTAGTAATGATGCTTATCTCAATACACAATCAAGTGTTTCCCATTGCGATGAATAAATGTGTGATGTTTGGACCACGCAGAACGTTCCCTTGATGATGATTCATTTTCCTATGGTGCCAGGACCCACTGACCCTGTCTAGTCTGGTTACTCTGGTATATTGAAGTTCCTAATATCGTATGCTCAGAGTGCGGATAGGCCGTAATTAAATAGAAAAACCTTTGCTCTTACCGTTAAATTCAATGACGAGGGGACCCTTTTCGCCGCAGAAGTTTAGTCGGACCATAGTACTACCTAGGTATAGTCCAGCTCATATACAGCCGCTGTACGCACTGAGTTCAAGTCAAAGTGAAGCTAGACGCTATCCATTCACTCTCTAGAGTAAACTCTCAGACATGAGTTCCTACAACAAAGGGAAAAAGACGCCAGACTTCGTTTCCTATGCTCGATTTCCCAGGTAAAACATTTCACATCATTACATGTACCGCTAATCACCAGCCTTACTACCTAGTCTGCCTCACAGACAGGCTGCACCTTCAATTCAACAAAAGTAAGCTTCTGCCGTTCCATTGGGCTGTGCAACTGTTGGTGTATACATCAGCAGGGCAAGGCCTTTCGGCAAGTACAAACCTTAAAAGTCTAGTACTGAGCTAAGGTAGATATGTGTATGTAGAAGGAGGGAGTCAGTGAGCCTGGCCCACGATTCCTCCGTTGGGTGCAAGTACCTAGTAGGTGGAAGGGCCGTGTTCATCGGCCCAGGCCATCTTCCAAATCCATCTATTCCGCCAATACTACAACAGCAACCCTTCAACAGGCTGCTTTCGTATTTACATCCTTGAGTTCATCATTCTCCTTTCCTATCATTTGCAATATACCGGTTCATTTGACTTTATCATGTGGTGGTAGTATATGTCGATCTTAGACCCTTTGTAAACCAAAGCCTTACTCTTAACCTTGGACCACGAACCCTTCCAAGCTGACATCAGCCCACTTATCCACAACCTTTTCGAAAGCCACAACTCCCATACTAAGCCTACTGAGGGCGGCTTTGATTTATTTTCTTAGGGTTTTTGTAGTCCGTAAAGTACGTCGGGGTGCAGGATACCACAGTGGCATACCACGGAGCGTAAGGCTTTAAGCTGTCCGTGTAATTCTATTCCGCCTCCTTGCTGACCTCAACTTCAACCCTGTTGATATCGGAAGCACGATCGTAGGCAGTCTTGGCGATATGAGCGACTAATCTGCCTCCAACCGTGCACGGGTACGTCGTGTTCGTCGAGGAAGTGGCGCCCTTCGAGGTGTAGAAGAGTAGGTTGGAAAAGTCGCGTGTGGCCACGCCCATGAAGGTCGCGAATTCGTCGCTTTGCCATTTCTCCGTCAGATCGCGACCATTGCGACCCTGGGTCGGCATGTTAAGTACTTGAGCTGGGTCTCCGTCGACAGCAGTTGTCGTTGCGAAACCTGTCGCAAGTACGAGAACGTCGACTTCGTACTCCTTGACCAAGTCGCCCTTCCGACTAAAATACTCTTCTCAGTATAACCAGAGATACCCTGACCATCGGTATCAACGAGCGTGACGTTGGAGCGGTTGAAAGATTTGAGATAATCTTGATGGAATGTCGGGCGCTTGCACCAGCCGGGGTACCAAGTGATCAGCTTTTCAGCCAATTCCGTGTCGTCCACCTCACGCTCGACGTGCTTTCGGAGTTCAGTTGAGATCTCCGCGTCGAGTTCTAGCATCCGCTGGAGATGCCGATGGACGTTTTCGGGGGTGACATCTGTAACCCGGGGGCTGCCGATGAGTCCTGCAAACGTGCGTGCATTACTCCATCCGTCTTTGACGAGGTCATCGGCAGGAGTTACCTCTGGGTGGTCGTTGAGAAACTTGTTTAGGTTTCTCATCCGATCGGCCTGCCAGCTTGGTCGGCCGACGACGATGATCCAGATTTCCGGGGTTGTCTTGACTTGCTTTCTTGGTCCGCAGTATGAGGGTGTGCGCTGGAACACATAGAGTTGTTTTGGCCATTTGGCCATTTGGCCAGCTTGGGAACAGCCTGGACAGCCGTTGCGCCGGTGCCAATGATGCCCACTCTCTTGTCTTTGAGATTTACCAAGTCAGGTTGGGTCTGGGAACCGCCAGTGTATCCATAGTTCCAAAGAGCCGTCAACTGGTGTGGAAGATTTCCCGGTTCTCCGCGAAAACGCCGAGACCGGGAACATCAGGCGCGCTCGGCGAGTAGAAGAGGCTGCCAGCGGGCATGAGAAACTGTGTCTGAATGACAAAGTCACCATTGAGATGTTGGTACTTTGGGCCCATGTTGCGGCTCATTGCAACAACCCACCGCTTCTGGACGTCGCTCCGTTCAGCGCTCTTCGCCTTGGTATAGAACATGCCCTGAATTCCATATTTTTGCAATCTGCTCAACGTTCTGACGGATCTCTTGACCCTTCCAGTAGCGATGTTTTGGAACGAATCCTGTTTCTTCGAGGAGTGGCAAGTAGCAATAGCCCTCAACATCGCAGGTCAGGCTCGGGTCGATTCCAGTACCAGGTACCTCCGAAGCCGCCGGCCTTGTCTATGACGACAACATCAGCCGGATTGAATTCAGCCGCGACCAACTGGTAGGCAAAGAGTATGCCGTTATGGCCGGCACCAAGGATGAGAAAGCGGATCTCTGAGCCATCACTCAAAGGCGGAGTTTCCTTGGCGAGGGTGTCGTGGTCGGCCCAAGGGTCACGACTAAAGTCTTTCATCAAGAAACTCGTCCTAAAGTTGAGGCGATCCCTCATTTGTCAGAGGCAGCGTTGAATCTCTTATCTCGCTTAGTTTGAAGTTTATAAGGTAGGGTATAATTGACTTACATCTATTAGGTCATGGTACTTTATACATTCAAAGTCTATGGATATGATTTCGAGATAGCTCAAATGTTATAACGATTTTTTCTCAAGGATCCTTTTGTTATAACAAGCTAACTTAAGCATTTCTAATGTACATAGTTAAGTTAAGGTACTATGCAATGTTAAGTTTACATCTTTTCTCTTATTGTTGGCACATTAGGAGTTTTATAAGCTATTATGCACACGTTAGTAGTCAACCATTCTTAGTAAGTTAAGGATAAGCTGGGCCGATAGAATACGTAATTATTGTGAGATCCTACATGGTCTTCAGAACAGCCCTACTATTTTCACCAGTGTAGTCCACCTTTCTCATCCACTCCTCCACACTTTTAACTCGTCCTGGCAAGATTCTGTCAAGGGTGTCGTAATCCACCGTCCATAAACCTTGACTACCAGATACAGCTAGGCTGTGGAGTTCCATGAATGCTTCGAAGTTATCTGCCACTCTCATGCCGTTCTCGCCAAAGCGCGACTCTACACCGCCCGGCATTCCCGCCGCAACTGTTAGGCCAAACATTTCGGGAGAGATAGGGTTGTAGACTGCAGGCTTTCCAGTAACCTTGGTGAAGGCTGTGGCCACATTATGCCAGCCAACATGTTCGGTTGCGACATCAAGAACTAGGCCCCTTGCTTTCTCGGGGTTATCGAATACCCACAGCGTGTATAGCGCCAGATCCGGGAGTGTCACCATTGCTGCCGAGCCGTCGCCCATAGCACCGTTGAATACGAACGTCTTGCCGTCAGCTCCTAGAGTAGGGAGGAAGCTGGAATAGAACATCTCGAGGTACAGGGCAGAGTTGACCACAGACCAGTTCATTGAGCCCGTTGGCTGGGCGGATATAAAATCTCGCAAGGATGTTAACAGGATCCAACCAGGGTCATCAGAAAGAAGGAGCGAAAGCCTCACCAGTAACGCGACCTTTGCCATCAAGATGGCCAACGTTGTACTTCGGATTATATCCAGATCGTTTGTAGACGTAGGGTAGGCCAGCATATACGTAGTGTTTGACGCCCGCCTCGGCGGCGATTTCGAAAGTTCTGACACCCCAGTACAGCTCATCCCTCTCGCTGAGAGCGAAACCGTTCGTGTTGACAAAGCATGCATCGACACCGATGAATGCCCGTCTTAGATCTGCTACGCTGGACGCATCGCCTTCGATCATAGATACGTTTGGGAGTCTTGCTACTTCTAACGCAGCGGCTGACTTGGCGTCACGAGTCAAGACGAATATGCCGTATCTCCCTGTTTTGGACAGTACACGAACTATCTCGCTGCCCTGGGCGCCGGTACCGCCAATGATAAGAAGTGTGGGTGCCATTGAGATTTGATGGATTGAATGTTGGAGCACCTAAGACATCAGGAGGTAAGCATGCATTGGAGAGACTATTTATCTTCCATCTTATGCCTACGTCTTGAGCATCGTTTCACCGCGGGAGATAATACAACCTACTGAATTTGTCATGATGGTATTTGAATATTATGTGGCCGTATTCCCAAGATTAATAATCCATGTTTGCGTGTAATACAACCTATTGAATTTGTAATGATGGTATTCGAATAACTATCATGTGGCCGCATTCCCAAGATTAATAATCCATGTTCGCGTGCCGGGGGCGTGATTCAACCCTCCGTGATCTCGCGCGCCAGCTAGTTTCGCTTACCAATTCGAGAGCTGCGTTACGGGGGTATTATTCACCATTCACTCCGCGCCCCGAGTGTGTAAAACTACACAGATATCATAAAACCGAGCAAGCTACCGGCTCTAAGACAGCTTGCCAGTCAGCAGAACAGATCTTATTGAAGTTCATAGAACTATGAAGTTAGTTTCTGGTATCCTTATCCTGGGCGCTGGGCCAGGTATCCCATCGATGTTACGGCCAGCTAGTCGTAGTGAGGTATGTTTGCAGAAGTTGAGGCTGCGGAACTGGTAACAGTATTCGTAGTCGGGGATAGTCTTCAGGGAAGCTATGTCTGTAAGTCGTAAGGTAAGGGAAGGCTTCGGTGATCAATCGTAGTCTTATCAAAGAGGTTCTCAGGGAAGATAGCTGAAAGCGATCATAAGATCTGATACGAAGTTAATCGCTGAAGAGCTATGGAAAGTCTGTCCTAGAGTCCGGCTCGAGTCCATCCTATATACAAGTCCTGGTCCTGAACATATCCCTTGTCAATGATCAGTCCCTCTGATCGGGTGAGCGCTCATTGTTCCTGTATGAGCGCTCATTACTTGGCATGAGCGCTCATGGCCCCACCATGGTCGCTCATGTCTTATCTTATCATCACGTGACTTGTACCATAGTTCTTCCGTTCCCTGAGAGGGTGCCTTGTGTCCCCTTGTCCTGTGCATGTATGGCGTATCGTAACCGTCGTAAGCCTGCGGGGCAGGCCCTGTTCTTGGTCGTGCATGTTGGGTCGTAACAGTTACGTTCCTAGATATAGCGGTCGATTAACGGAAGTAGTTAACCGTACTAAATTAATATTATCGGTACCGTCGGGGTCGATATATATTTTAGATAGCTCGTTTGCGAGCCGAAATGCGAAGGGAACTCTATTATAGAAGTTAGTCTTTATAGATAGTTATAGGACTATTAAGCTTCCTAATAGTAGGGAGCGAGATTATAGTCATCGTTGCGTGTACGATGGTTTCGTCTATACGAGAAGGGGTAGTTTTTAGAGAGAGTAGGTACTTACAGCCCGTTTCATAATAGTAGGGGTTTCTGTTACTTGTGGTTAAGTTAGAGCTGGGCTTATAACTATTATAAAACGATGTAGTATGTGGAAGACTTGTATAGTAGAAAGTAGTTTGATTCCTCTAAGTGGAAGATCCGTATGAGGGTTATATCTATATACCGTATAAGATGGGTAATCGGCTTGTGGAAAGCGGTATCGTACGGCAGTAACCGGCAGCGCCACGTGTAGCGCTGCGACATTAACATAATAACAGAGGACGAAGGAGACTGGGGCATTTGTGACCTAACTCTCACAGCGAGTAGTAGCAGCGCTCTATTAGTTATGTTCGGGGATGGAGCCTAGCTGGGCTGCGATACAGTAAGCCTGCCGGGCTTCTTACGTTTTCCTCCTCGAGCGGCTCTGGAAAAGCCCCCAAGGGCTTGTTCGCTTTCTATCATCGAGCAGCTTCACCACCTTCTATCCTCTACCAGATCAAGAATAGCCCCCAGGGGCTTCTTCATCCTCTTTCCTGGAATCGAGCAGCCCAGGAAAGGTCTCAGCGGCTTCTTTCATCCTCCCTCCACGAGTGGCTCTTAGAAAAAGCCCCCAGGGCTTCTTCACCACCTACCTATCCTCGGGAGCTTCCTCACTTTCTGTCCTCGACCTTTTATATCCTCGACCCTTTCTATCCTCGGGCAGCTTTCTTACTCTCTGTCTACGCCCAGGTTCGGAAAAGCCCCCAGGGGCTTCTTTACTTTCTATGCTCAAGGAAATTGAGAAAAGCCCCGGCGACTTCTTCAATTTCTATCCTCGAGCGGCTTTCTGACCTTCTGTTCTCAAGCTTTTCTAGAGTACCCATGAAAAAGCCCCCAGGGGCTTCTTCGCTTTCTGTATTTTTGTGCCTTGGGAAGAGCCCCTGGGGGCTTCCTCACTTTTTATCCTTAAGTAACCCTGGCTAAGCCTACAGGGGTTTCTGGAACTCTACCTTCTCCACCAGCTCAATAGTAGCCCCTAGGGGCTTCCTCACTTTGTGTGCTCGAGTGGTTCAGGAAAAGCCCCCAGGGGCTTCTTCACTTCCTATCCTCTGGACCTTCCTCACTTTCTATTCTCGACCAGCTATAAAAAGGCCTCCGGGCTCTTCATCACTTTCTACCCTCATCCAGTTCTGGAAAAGCCCCCAGGGGCTTCTTTACTGTCTATCCTTCCTGTTGGAATAGGCCTACATTAGGCAGCAGGAGGTTGCTGCCGCGGTCCGTTCCAGCCACGGTGGTCCGTGTGGCTCAGCCACACGAGGGTGGTATACCCCAGACTTCCTGCCGCCGCTGGCACCTGGTTAGACTTCCACTAAAAGAACAACAAGAACAAGCAATATCACCACTACAGTCGGTGATCGTTGCTACCCACGATACTCGAGTATTTTCCTTTCCCACCTGTGAATCCAACACTTCCTTAAGAAAATTTAGGAAAGCCCTCGGCGACCTCTTCAGCTTTATTCTCGGGCGGCTTTCGTACCTTTTACTCTCAGGCTGTTCCCGAGTAGCTATAAAGAAGTCCCCAGTGGCTTCATCGCTTTCTGTTCTCGGCTAATATCCTTACTATCGATCCTTAACCCGCTCTAGGAAAGCACCTCGGGAAGCTTCTTCATCAGCTATCCTCGACTAGCCCTGGCAAAGCCCCCAGGGGCTTCCTCACTCTCCTCCATGAGCGGCTATAGAAAAGTCCATAGGCGCTTCTTCGCTTTATATTCTCGACCAGCTCTGGCAAAGCCCCCAGGGGCTTACTCTCTTTTCATCCCTTTCTAACTCTGGAAAATCCCCCGGAGGCTTCTTTATTCCACTCTATCCTCGATTCGTTATGTTCTCGGCCAGCTGCCTCACTTCCTATCCTCGACCAGCTCTGGAGAAGCCCCCAGGGGCTGCCTCACTATGCCTCCGTGAGCGGCTGTGGAAAAGCCCCCAGGGGCTTTTCGACCTGCCACGAACCTTTAGCTCTCAGAAACCCAGACCCCTCCCCTCGCTCTCTCTTCCCCCTACCTATACCATACCCCTTCCCTAACCGCCCGCCCTCGTAGCCCTCGCCCGGCCTAGCCTTAACCCCACCCGGCCGGTGCCGTGGGAGCGCGCTGATTGGTATAGTAGGCTGTCGACGCAAGAAATTACTGTCAGGGTGTAGGTATCCGACAGCGTAGGTCTCGGAAGTGCGGCTGCCAATGGCAAATGTATCGAGCAGCAGTTAGACAGGCAGGGGTCATTTTGTGTGTATTGATGAGTATATCGAATGAATGGCTATGGAAAGAAACCCCATATCTATATGGGAATTGATATACCGGCGTCGCAAATTGATACACCGGCGTCGACCTTACACCGGCGTCGCTGTTCGACCTTTTGATTGGCTCAAAAAAATATTGTTAGTGCAATCAAATTCTGCCAGATACCCACAAAGTATCTCAACCCTTTTTGTTCCTTTGCTCCCTTTCCTCTAAGGTTACATCATCAAGCCTCTAAATCTGACTTATGCTATTTGTTTACAATGGCTTCTCTAACTGGAGTTAGAGATGTTCCACAAGGCCAATCTCAAAGCAATACCCCTACTAATAAACCTCCCCCTATACGAGAGCGACCATTGTTTGAGTACGGCCTCCCACCATCATCTGGCCAACCACTATCATCTCCCTCCTCAGAAAGCAGCCGCCCTAGCGTTAGCCAATTCTATGGAGTTGGTGATCCTCAAGGGCAGCGCGACCTTATCACCGAGCTCCCAGCCGACATACTACAAGATACGCAACCTCTTGCATACGATTACCCTAGTATGGAGCCTACGCTACATCTTACTCGTCATTTCCCTAAAGGAACAATAAAAACCCAGCGGACTACTCTCCCACGAGTTTCTCCAGAGCATAGTTCCTCTCCTCCCAACGAACAGTCCCAGCAACCTTCCCATCCTACAACAGAGCAGTTCAATAGTGCTCTTCAGCTTGTTCTACAGGTTGTTGGGACTAATCAACAGCTAACAACGGCACTCCTCCGACAACAAGAGTATGTCCGTCAATGGCAAGAAACATGGGGTCCCCAAGTCAACCCACCACCCTATTCACCCCCACGGCAATCCTCCCCTCAAAGCGAAGCGTCTTTCCGAACTGCAGCCTCCTACCACACTCTAAGCAACCGATCCTCCTCTCCTCCTATAACCGAAATCCCAAACCCACCGATTCCTGGCGATCCAGAGCAAACCTATGATGCCCTCTTCGACCGAGTTAATTATACGGGTCCAAGATGCGACATGCCATGAGTTCCGGATTCTTCATCCGTCCGTCCGTGTTTCCGGCTGCGCTTAGTGATATGGTAGTTTTCTGAACCGGCTCTACCTCGCCACCCGAATAGGAAAGCAAAAAACGGCTTCGACAGCATCCCAGTTGATGTATTGGCACATCCCGAGAGCACGTTGGTGCTTTCTGTAGTGTTCCACGGAAGTTACGTAGCAGGAGTTCCGCGTGTTGGCACGTCCGCAGAAACCCACAAGCACATGCGGCGAAGATTCCTCACACATGAAGATTCACAGACCACTCTGGGCCTTACCTGCAGGTTCGATATCTTCCCAAGCGCTTTTAACATTCTTCGCATGCTCACAGTCCATAGGCTATCGTTGCGGACCTCGAGCTCAGCACGTACGACGGCTTCTGGATAGGTACGGCGTACCTCTTAGCCAGTGCCGTGGTGATGTTATTCATTGCGGATCTGAGCCGCGTGTTTGGTCGACGGCCATGCCTGACCACCTCGGTCGCTTTTTTTACCGTAGGCACGGTCTTGTGCTGCGTGTCACGCTCCATCGGCTTGATGTTGACTGGGCGGTCTCTCCAAGGCGTCGGCGGTGCTGGCATTATCGTCTTATGCCTGCTAATTTTCACCGACATTGTCCCGTTGCCGCTTCGGCCTACGTGGTACGGCCTAGTGTGAGGAACCCCTCCCGAACTCTTTTTCTCTTCCGCTAACCCCGTAATCCATCTCCAGCCAGGCAGCATGGGCGCTGGGAAACTGCGTTGGGCCCATACTGGGCGGCGTCATTGCTCAGAACACAACATGGCGCTGGGTTTTCTACATTATGTTCCTATTCTGCGTAGCCGGGCTTGCTCTAGTGCCCTGGCTAGTCTACGTTGATTCTCGGACTGGTGAGGTGTGTAAGAAATTAAAGGAGATTGACTGGCTGGGAAACGCTCTGTTTATCGGCTCGGCCACTTTGTCGCTGGTGGCTATCTCCTGGGGAGGCTTGCGCTATAGTTGGGGCAGCGCCGGCACTTTCGTACCTTTGTTGCTTGGGGTAGTCGGCATGGTGCTGACAGTGATCTACGAGTCACGCTTCGCAGTGTCCCCGTTCTTGCAACGCCAACTATTCTAAACCGCTAGCTTAATCGCGACGTATGCTTGCGGCGCCATCTAGGGCCTCGTTGTAAGAGTGATGTAGTATTAAGCGCGTGGTATGATATGCTGATTACGATCGCAGATGTACGGGCACCCCTACTACGTGCCTCTGTACTTTATGGAGGTTAAGGGGTTTACTCCGGTCTAGACCGGCGTCGCGCTCTTCCCGGTCATGTTCACGCTGGTGCCGGTATCCATTATCACCGGTCGATTCGTTACGGTGTTCGATAACTACTAGTGGCCGATCTGGGTTGGTTGGACTCTGGCTACTATCGCCTCCGGGCTGATGATGCTGTGGGACGTCGAGACGCCGACGAAGGTATGGGCGCCGACGCTCGTCCTTCTTGGTCTCGGCCATGGCTGCGTCTTGAACGCGCAGAACATGGCATCGCAAACTCTCTGCGAAGAAGATGACGAAGCGATCGCCGCGGCGATGTATGCCTTTCTCCGGCAGTTTGGCATGGCACTCGGAGTCGGTGTCGGCGGTTCTACATTTCAGAACGTCATGCTGCTTAAGTTGGAGGCCGATGGCTTGGCACCCGCGGGCACACACGGAGGTACTCATGCTGTTCACGCCATATTGGGCACGGCTGGCGATGCTGCGCTACGATCCAAGATCGTGGATGCGTACGTCTACGGCCTGCGAGGCGTCTACGGACTGTATGTCGGCGTATCCGGGTTGGCGCTTCTGATGAGTTTCTTGATCAAGAGAGTATCGCTGGACAAGAGCCTACGGTCTGGGCAGACGATGCACATTCAGGCGAAGGGTCACGGTAGTGTTCACGGCTCGGGGAGTTGAGCATGGTCCAGGGGGTTGGGGTTGGGGTTGTGTGTGTCAAGCCCCAGAACCCTATGCCTACCTTGCTAGCATCCATTCATCTAGGCAGCATGAAAGTAGCGAAATGTAATTGATTTCAGAATTTCGCTCATTTTTAGGACCAGTCGCAAACCTGTATCCTTTTCTCAATCCACGTTGATCCACGTTGAGCGCTTGTTTGGCGCCATTTAAGGTCCTCGACCCTGCCATTTGGAGCTCGTAGAGATCGGCCTTTCACATGTTGTACCCGTGGCTGTCACAGCAAGAACTTGCTGTGTAGCTCCGCTTGTGGTAGAGCCCTAGCAAAGAGCATCTCTTATCAGTGTGTCTTGGATCTCCCACGAGGTTTACGCTGCTTTGTAGACGATGGATGTAATTGGCTGTCGAGGGAATGAGTCAGCCTGTCAAATGCACTGGGCCAATGGCATGGCAGGATTCCGACGTCGACGAAAGGCAATCTACTGATCGGGCGCTTGCTAGACTAGCGGGTCATCGAATCCGTCAAGTCTTGTTGTGACCGGCTGGTCGCATTTGCCTCTTCTAAATGGACGGCACCAGGGCATCCATGACCCGGCATGCGGTGACACCGCGAAAAGCACTACGACCCAAACGTTGCCTGTTACATTGTGGATGGACTGAGATATTGAGGAGATGTCTCAGCCAGCACTTACCTTCGCTAAATCGCGGGTTGAAGGATCTACAGGTCGATAAACTTCGTGGCGGTCGAGGGCAGGCTTGGAGCCGAATATCCAATCAACAACAATAGAAGTAGTGCACCCTCGAATTCAACTCCGTAGATTGACCCATGTCATCACCCCGACTCAAATCTACATACCGCCAGCTGCACTGCCAGACGCTGACGTATCGCAGACAATGAAGGAGTTTTAAGATTGTAATCACTTGCTAACCCGATTCCATCAGATGCCCGCAAGTGCATTCCGATAGACCATGCGTGAAGGGAGCTGTGGGTCTTTCACCAGGCACTCACCTACGCCAGTCCGAACGGTGGCTTTTCCCCGTCATGCTTCCTCTTCATGTCACTCAAGCTCAGCCTACGGGGTGTTTAGTCACCATATGAATCATTTTTGACTCTCCATTGTTTTGCTTCGTGATCGCAAGCCAGTTGTGCTCAATGGCAGACGCTGCAGGGAAGCCAAGATGAATTGCGAGTACTGGCGACGCCTGTATTGCTTCGCTTATCCTTGGCTACATGCTTCATTCAGTCTCTCGAGCCCTTCATTCCACTGTTCCTGCATCCTCGCACGGCTCACGACACTCTTCAGCAATCGCGAAACAACATACTCTCCACCATGGCCTAGACAATAGTACCATCGCCGAGATAAGAGTGGACGTCCCAGATGCCCCAACAGTCATTCGCTGACCTTGATGGCCCCCAGATCAGACCAGCTAATTTGATCTTGGCTGTATACAAGCCCCTTGTAGGCTTGGCGCCCACAGAACAGAGTTCCGTTGTCATTGCCGACCACCAAATCTGAGGCATGTCAGTCGTCTGCGACGACACGGTAGTTTGTACGTCTTACTAAGGTCTATCCCGTGATCAACATGACGCTCGTCGCTGTCGTCGTTTTGCGTGCTGCATTTATAATTGGCCCACGATTTCGTTGAGTTATCAGACTCACAGGGACCGGCGGAGGAAGAAGTGTCCGCTAGAAGTCGTGAGAATAAACGTGACAGTACTTTTGAACTGACTTACTCGTCTTGCGCCATCAAAGAACCGTCACGATTTACCATGCAATGGTTCAAGTCAAGGACCGACCATGTCCAATCGCCTGTTGTAGTCCTGCAAATCGCAGCCATCTTATATTTTTCGTTCATGACAGTACCCCCCCAATCAACGCAAGAATCGAGAAAACCGCGTGGTTGGAGAGACGTGTCCCTTTCCGCAAGCTGATCTGCATGCTGCTCTCCTGAAACGTGAGGTAAGACACTGCACAAAACAGCCAGGTGGCTCAGGATCTTGACGACCGAAGAGGCCATGGCAAATGTCTGAGTCTGATGATAGTAGTAGCTAGAGTGCACCAGCCTCGGATTTGTGGTGTCTTTATACTTGTGGGAAATGCGACATTCATACTGATGTCGACCACGGCGAGAATCGTATCTATCCCAGAAGTGTGTGGTTTTGTCCGCTTCTGGATTCTCTTCGCCACGTCTAGCTTCTCGTGCTGTGTGCAGTCGAGAGCCCGGAGGCGCATTTCAGAAGCACGTACCAGCGTATGTTGCTGCGAAGTCAACTACGGCCTCTGGGTGCGACGTGCCGTAGCAAAAGCCGACTTGACCTACCGTTTGCATGGCATTGAGCCACATGCGTGTTGAACGCACGAATACAAAGAGCCCTACGCCTGCAGTAGCCACCGCTTTGCTGTCGCCAGACAGCATACTCCCCACAGCATACATGCAATGACGCCGGTCGAGCTTGGAATCATCGGAGGGCTAGCAGGCACGTTGTTTCTCCTGTTTGTGCTGTTATGCAGCGTCTGCAACATCAGACGAGATCAAAAAAGAAGTCACACTACAGGCTTTGCTGTGAGTCGCAAGGCAGCTCGCCCGATGCCGAGTATTTCTGACATTTCTCAGATGTCATGACTCCGTGACTGTAGATATTTGGACTCCTATTGTAACCGAGATGCAAGATGCTGGTAGTATTTGAGACTGTTCTTTGGATATATTGTGCATACTGTGCAATATAACGCTACGTGTATCGTATGTAGTTTCTATTAGGCGAATTAAGATGACGAATGATTACCTTGAGTACCTGCTGTTGTGCATTTAGTATTTAGCTCAATTGCCCTGAAATTATCTCGAGTTCTCCCATCATCGTCCAATACAGTACAACTCGTGTCGCACTGTACATTGCCTCTGACTCATGGCGACCAGAGAGACGCTGCCGTTGAAAGCTACGTATGTACGCCTTTAAATACGCCCTAGAACTCGCTGCTCCACGCGCTTTCGCGTGTCACATTAACTCCATATGTTACTTGCAATGTAGTTTGCAATCAGGTCGTCATGGCTCTCTCCGGCAGGTTTTGCCGTTCTCAACGGGAAGAAGGTCCGCTTTTGGAAAGTAAGGTACAGTATGAGCGCGACTGTGAGCGCCGGCGTCCGTACAGTATGTACCACAAGGACAAGAGTCGAATCGTACGCCTCTGGTAGTGACGAAGGTCAGCTGATCCAACTTGACTTCTGCGAGCTAATGAGGGATTTCAACCACGACGATCTTCTGGCCGGAGGCCGAACGGTCGATCTATCCATCGCCAGTGGTTATTGTGGCCATCAGAGTCGCGGGTATGTTGTGCTTCTGATCCGACAGTGAGGGCCTATTTACTCTCCGTATCGCAGCATCAACCGGGCAGTCACTTTTCCTGCAGCAAGAATCTGCACCAAAACTCACAAAGAGGCGTTTCACGCAGTGAAACAATCGGTCTTTGTAGTTGAGGCTGGGTCGCGGAAAGCATATTGTGGATGCTTGGCGTCCTCAGCTGTTGACGTGCGAGGAAGAGTCGTTCCGAACTCAGCTGGAGGCGGGTCCTGCACTACGGTCGGGTATTTATGGCCTTCATAACATATGCAGCCGCCGTCCTCGGAGCAAAGCGCGTGCTCCTTATGTGATGCTTTCCGCTGCGGAGACAAATCCTTCCATTACAGTACTGACAAATGCAAGGTTCCCGCTTTTTCACAGAAGAAGAACAAATTCAAAGTGTCGAAGTAGACTAACATGCTGCAGCTACCACAATCATGCAACAACTGCGGGGCGTATACGTCCCAATCTTACTCGCATGCGTTACTCTCAGCGTGACCGCCATGACCATGCTATCAAAAGCGCCTCCGACAAACACATCGATAACGGCTGCATTTGCAGGCTTCTTTCTCTCTGCATCTGTGATCACAACACCCTTCATCGCTACATACTACTGGCCGGGTGATGCCTGGTTCAAGTGTCAAGTCTGCGTCGGCAACCATTGTCTTTTTCTTCGGGACCATTAGGATATGCCGAGAGAAGCTGGCGGGCCTGAATAGAGGTCAATTGGGTAGATGATGCTCTTTGAGTTCGGGTCATTGGCGGATGACGGGAGAGATCTAGGACCTAGTGCGAGGAGGCAGTGACGTAGTCAGAATACAGAGAAGGGCTTGGTTTTGTAACATCTTGCATCCATCTTTGCTTCGCTTCTGGCGTATCTCTTCTTCCTTGAGTTCCACGGGTCCTGTCCCCACGACCTTTGCTCCTGTTGTCATGCTGGAAAGTGCCTCATGCTTCATCCGTAACGTTGCTCTCCTTTCTAATTTCGTAGGTCATGGTGCGTAAAGCTTCCTCTGTTCTATGCTGATGCTGGCTAAGGCTTACCCGCTGATCAACACAGGCGTTTTGTTGCGCGGAGAGGCTCATGAGAATCATGTTGACCAACTGCAGCCTGCCTTCTGCCTCGACCACTTGTAGTTGGTACTCTCTGGTTAGCATTCTCAGCCTCTCGTCCCGTGCCTCTAGCATTGCCCCTTTCGTGGCGGGACAGTGTTTGAGAGTGTACTGATTGGGCGAGGCGTCGGACATCTTGCCGTTTTGCTGAATCGATTTTGACGTATCCACCGGGGCAGCCGACTATGATTGGCTCAGCGGACTAGAGTTGTATCCTATATGTAGACATTGTTCGACGTCTGTAGACGTATCGACTTATGGCTTTTCATGTCGGCATAGAGTATAGGACTGTAACGGTCGAAATTGCAGCTGCTACAGCCTTTTGTTTTTTGTTTTGTAAGCTACTGTAACGCGGCCTTTTATTGACAAACTCAGCAATCGACGTTCTACTAGCAGGATTGAGTCATAATGTGTTGAACGCTGATTCTTGCTTTTGTAAGATGTTGGTTAAGCATACGAGATCCGGCTGATTGCTACATTACATTGCCCGTCATCAGAGGCTTTCCATACAGTAGCGGTTGCGATGAATGGCAGATAGTTCTGGCAAGTTAGGGAGACAAAAATGTACTTCGAGTATCCACTGGGTTCCCGCCTGAGCACACTTTCAAGTACGTCTCCCCAATCCCTCCTTTCGCCGCTTTGAGACTCTTCACGCGTACATATGTATCATTACAGTGATTACATCATGACTTGCCGTCTCCGTCATTTCTGTCTCTCGATTTGCTTGATCTCACGCAACCTCACTGTTCTGTTCACGAATTGCGACCAAACTCTTTGCGTATACAGACTTCTAATGCAGCACTAGTTGACATCAAAGATCTTTTTCTTGCCCTGACCGTCTTTCCTGATGCGAATCAGAGCCACTTGAGGCCCACAGTAGATGACAGCCGTCCTCCTCGGCCGCAAAAATATTTAAGATAGGAAACATCTCCCAAGCGGCTATGTGTTAACAGGCCAAACTTCTTCACAAGGAAAATGACAGAACCTATTCGAAGAAGTCTCAGGCTCCAGAACAAGGGAGCCGCCCATGTGCCGGAAGCCCCGAAAGTCCCGGCGGCTCCGGCTCGCCGAGCCAACAAGAAATATGTGAGGAAACAGGAGGAAGTGATTTCGGACCTGAAAGGAAACATGGAGATGTACTCGGCCGAAGCCCAACAGGTCATCGTCGATATGCAGTCCCGCCTTCAAAAGTACGAAGCAGACGAACAAGCCCGCAGAGGTCAACAACAGACCTTCAACTTCAGCACCCCCTTGAACACGGCAAATGACGACAACTCCGAATTCGATGCCATGTCCGTCGACAGTAATGATAGCAGGTCGGTTGGGGCCGCCGTGAAGAAAGAAGCGCAGGTTGACGAGGGCCTTTTCGTCCCCCGAAACCCGAGGCAAAGCGCTACACTCATCGTCGAAGATGACGAGGACGACGATCCAGCCAGTCTGATATCATTGAGAGACATTTTCGACCAAACTGGGGATGATGATATCGAAAATACCACAAGATATGGGTTCCTCGAAGTAGGGCCGTACCGAACGTACAACGTCGTCGGTCGAGGGCCACGCAACGCCGAAAAGCTAGAACTCGTCCCATCGAACAGAGACCCAGTAGGAGATGCTATCAACAACCTCTCTCAGAAAAAAAAGGTTCTTCGGGACGGAACGGGGAGGAAACTCAAGGTGGACGGCATCAACATCCAAGTGGATATACAAGGCGTCGCCTGGATCGCGACCCAGAACCCGGCGGACCCGATTACCTTGATGGATCCGCGGTACTGGGACAAAATGAAATCTGAGGGTAAGAAGAATGTCCGAATGCCCTATACCTTAATCAAGTTGAAATGGGTGACGATTCGGAACGGCGAGAAAACCGTTGAGAAAACGTTCGAGTCGAGGTCGACGGTTCGTTCCATCTTTGGTAAAACGCCCCGGGCGGCCCTACGAACCTACAAGATTGGCGACCGAGTAGTTCTCGAAAAAGGAACCATAATGCCAGCGGCAGACCTGGCGATATTCGCTGCGGCGATCATCTCATGGGACCGCCATCTGAAGTGGAAGGAGGACCCCAGCACAGGCGAGGACCGCAGCCCCACCCCGGATGAAGTACTTCAGACGACGGAAACCAAGCATGGTCGGAGGCAAGGGGCCAGATAGAGGGGTGCTATCATAGGGTGCTATTCTCCGCACACGACGACGTAGGAAGGCGGTGCCGAATTTCGACGTTTTGTTAGACGGGTCTCCTATGTATCGCTTTCAGTCCCCTTCCCTCTATGGCAACAAGATGACTTCTCTTTGCATTTGTCTGCCCTCGCCACATAGTCATAGTTCGTTCTGTACTGGTATTTCAAACTGAACTTGCTTCTGATCTCTTCGTTCGACACGTCTTATGAGGAGTGCTACGCGCTGGCGAGGGGCTTGCTGTTCATGGAGCTCTGGATGGGCTCGTCGATAGACATTTGCTGTGATCACAGGATTCGAGCTGCTTCCTGAAGACCCTCCAAGATGGTGGGCTAACAAGGCCGTTATGATCTACAAGAACACGAGCTGGAAATTTTCTTACGTCATTAGTCACGCCATGAACGTCCAATTCTCATGGATGCAGTTGGTTGAATCTAATCATGCGCTGTCGTGATGGACCAAATGAATTCGTCGTCCAAGGGGTCGGAGCTGAGGGTAATCAACATCAAAGCTATTTCGTTGTTTTGTGCATGGATCAAACAGGACGGTTTGAGATTGGCTGAGCGTGTATCTACTCAAGGATATGTGTGTACATCTCTTTTATCCACTTGACAAGTTTTCTCCGCGCTTTCCGTATCTCCCTCACTTAGACGTGCCATTCGCCGTGGCTCCTACTTCCTGATCCACGTTCTGTTGCGGTCAGGACAGGAGCTCTCTGGCAGACTGATGACGAGCCCGTCGACCTGGGGGTTTCCATCTTCCAGGCCGGCCTTCTTCTTCGCCCAGCAGAAGTCCAACAGATCGGCAGGCTTCGTGAGGTCCTTTGTGGACAGGAAAGAGGTCACTGTATCGTTCTCCCTGTCTGCGACGAAAACGTCTGAAGAAACGTCCATCTCCCCTTCGATGGCGCCGGGATGGAGAAGACTGTGGAGATGCAAGTGGATGGTGGTGTTAGCTGCATCGATCTTCAGCACCGATCTCGTCTCATCAAGCTCGTTGCCGTCTTTGAAAGAAGTCTTGAGTAAGGTGATCAACCCCGGGTCGGTCGCCGATTCTTTCGGGAATCGCTTGGCCATTTCCTCTGCGGCGTGCGTAAGCGTAAGGAGTAGATGGAACTCGCGTCCGGTCTCTCCGTTAAGAATGTCGAATAGGTCGGCCCCGATTAAGAATAAGGATAGGCCCTTGCTAGAGAGTATGTCGAGATAACTATTATTTTTGAACTGGGGAACCGCCGGTAAACCGGCTCCTAAGAGAAGTCCTTCCGTTAGGAAGGCAGCATAGGCTAGAGCTTAGCTCTTTTGACAAGCACCTGGACTAAGGGAAAGCTAGAGGGAAGATAATAACGTCATGCTACTACACACTTCCAGGGTTACTTCATGACAGCTCATTTGAAACAATAGCTGTAAGTATTATTGGACGAATATTCATGGAGTGGGGTAGCAACACACTCTGCAATATATTAACACTATTTACTCCTTAAGGGGATCAGTATACTACGAACGTCTCGAATAACGGCCCAGTACAGATGCGACACGATGAACAGCCCAACCATGTATAATGAACCTGGGTCAACACTTGTCAGGGACAATAGTTTGGCAACATTAGTATATAGGAACTTTTTCTTATCATAATGAAATTTGCTGGACCTGAGGACGAGCTACTGAACGATTGCTACACCCCTGGATAGGACTGTGGGATAAGGCAATCCATTTTTTACAGTAAAATATAATCCCAGTTAGTGGGATTATGTCGATATATTGTTCTGATCTACTCCCCCGTAAAATATTACCCCCTCTTTACTAACACCATCAGCAGACCCAACAACAAAACATATTAGTGCGTGATAACCAACGTTCTATACAGTCTCATACTAACTATTAAGTAAAAATCACCATAGACAATGTCAACCCTGGGTCTGAGCAGACCAGTCATAAAAAAGAGCCATTTAGTAATATCCCCGAAGTACCCGCGTCCCCGTTACTCCAACCACCAGGTTCCCCTTGTTGTGGGAATAAAACGAACGAAACTACAGATGGCGAAGAAGACGAGGAGTCTAGTACCGGTGACGAAGAACTAAAGAGGTACTAGCCGAGATGTATTAACTTGTCTATCAACCTCATGATCTATCAAACTAGGAGATATTAGCAGACAGGTACTCCAAACTATCGGGGAAATCATTCGAAGAATACATCAGATATGTGCATGAAATCGCCGATGAGGGATATTATAAGGATAACTTTGCCGATTTGTATGAAGAAGAAGCGGAACTAGAGATGGATGATGAGATAGCAGCCCCGTTTCTTGCAGCCCTACAAACAGAATATCTAGAGTAATAATAGCCAAATACAACTTACACTACCACACAACCTAGATAAACTTCTTACTGCTTCGGAGATTACTCTGTCTTGTCTTCTTTGTAGGGCTTGGGCCATTACTTTCATGCCCTTCGTCATCTGAATCACCAGACCTCTTAGACTGAATGGCCAAAGCTGCCCCCATGCCATTGACAACAAACGGGTCATCATCATCGAGAGTAGTGTTGGAGTCTTGGGATTCTGTGACAGTAAGCTCAGTTTATGTGCCATGGAGGGCATAACCTACTGGACTTAGACGGCGTCTTTGGAGCCCTTGCATCTACAGACATCTGGGCCAAGGGATCGAACACTACCCTCCCCCTACTACCACGATTGGGGGTCTCCGGGACCGACGGTTTCATAGGCGGCTCACTAGGAGGTGGCTGTTGCCGACCTTCCCCACCAGCCCAGTCGATCCTGAGGATCTCAATCATAGGGAGAAATACCAAAGGGTTGTAGGGAGCATCTTTGGACAAGGCTACTTCCTTGTTGCAAAATCCGTGGAAGTATCCAGTGATGTATGCCTTCTTCCCTTGCTTCCGGAACGGGGTTGTGTCAGTCCGAAAGCCTTCACACTTGCTCTTCAAATGAGGCTTGCACTTGGGAAGTAATGCATAGATGTAGTTAGGATACCAACCCGCCTTCGGCGTCTCCGCCTTATCGGAGGAAGGGAACCGGGACCAGACTTTGAAAATCGCCGAGGAATTCATTGTTATTTCATCGAGGCCGATCGTCGGATTGTTACAAAGGGGCAAGGTCTGTGTTTCGACAAAGCCATTGAAGCTAACAAACGGCGGGGTGACAGGAAATCGGGAGGCAAGGTCGGGACAAAAGTCTGGTGAGATACTAGAAAGTTGAATTAGCATGGGAGTAACAGATACATGATTGATGCTCACGGTGTCACGCCATCGTCTTGAATCCAGGTCAGTCGTCTGTAGTCGACGTGATGGCTAGCCGAGAGCTTGCAGGGAACGTAGCTGAAGTGAGGCTCGCAGAAGATAGTGAACCACTGACCCTCCCACTTATCGATAGTCAAGTCGCCGCGGTGGTAGCGATGGAGGTCTAGGGACAACACGTTGCCTTCGAGCTGGGCAAGTAGACCAGGATAGGTCTCAGTTATCCAGTCTGCTGGATGGACTGGAATCTGGATTTGGGCCAACCAGTTTTGGAAACGGAACAACTGTGAGTCTTGCGGAATGGATTCGACGCCTACTACTTCTCCGACGGCGACCATCGTGAGGGGGAGGCCCCATGGAGAGGGAAATCCGTTTGTACGCTCTGGCCAGTACTTCGTTAGGTCTGGCGTTTTAGCGTCGCCGTTGGTAGTGGCCATGATAATGGTTAGACAGATAGATACAAAAAGGGCGAACACAAGGCCAGAGTATGAAGAGGAGGAAAGATTGTAAATAGGATATGGAACATAAGAGCGATAGCAAATGGGCCACAACTTTATAATAAGAATAGAATGATTAGGAAGACGTTTGGGTTTTCGCGTGGCCGCTCGAACGGGAGGAGGTGCCATATTTCGAAGAAATTAAGTGGGATTAATGGCAAAGGGGGGGGGGGCATAATGGCAACACTGCTGCTGCTGCTGCTGCATGTGTTGGAACAAGTTAGTATATAATATGCTTTCTTCTTCTCCAATATCCAATGAATTCCACCAATTATGGTTAACTATGTGATAAGTGTATATATGGGTCCAGCCAGGCCATTATTATCAAGGATGATGGGGCATGTTGCATTTCTCCTTTTACCGATTACGTCGTGCTGCAGCTTCACATTTAAACTGGCTAACCTGGATATTTTATGGTTACACGTACACTCGTTTGTGTGTTGAGCGGTTAATGTTGGTCCCACAACCGATTTGGAAATACAAGAAGAGGTTTTCAAAAGGTGTGATAAAGAGACGCAAGACAAGAGGACGTCAACCTCTGATAGTCACAAGTTACATACCCAAGCAACAATACCCATGATTACTGGAAACTGGAGGCAGAACGATGTGGTAGTAGTTAAGAATCACATCATCGTAGCCCACACGTCCTAAAACCTTCTACAGCGTACTCCAATGTGTAGTCGCTCACTATTACTACCCCCCGAAATGTCCACCTCCCAGGCAGCACCTCTTGGCCCCCCTCGCGAGACTGGCCTCTCACCAAAGAAAGGCCGGAGAGGTCCAGGAAGGGGCAGTCACAGGATAAATGACAGCCCAAGGAGAAGGGCAGATATTACACCATTTCCCCTGACACCCGATTTGACACAGATTTCACAGATTTCACAAACCCCAGTGCCAAGTCCACAGCCTCAAAATCGAGGAGGAGTGAGGTCGAAACAAGGGCGCACACTCTCGAATACAAAAAACAACTCCATTACGGGTAGTAGACTTCAAACAGCACCCACCCAAAACACAGAGCGACTGAGGTACCCTCTCACACCAGAGGCGACCCAATCCCAAAGGTCTAGAGACATTACGTCTTTGGACGAGATGGATCAACGCAGGAAAGGTCTGTTCAATCGGACTGTTGAGGAACTGGACGCCCGTCATGCACAGAGACTAGAAGATTCGTCCAACCATACTTGGTGCCGTCCAGTGACTAGGGAAACGGCTCTCGAGAAGGTCAAGGCCTTTCACGAAGCCATGCACGACGACAATACACTCGATGTCGATCACTGCAAGCTTTGCTACTTACAACGGGCCCCCACCGAGCTGACGGACTACACATGGGCCGAAGCTGGACCATTGCTGCAGCAAATAGAGGACAAGATCCCCCAGCGTGACAGAGATCACCTGTCATGCTATGAATGCTTCCCCCGGAACACACCAACAACCTTCCCGCTGTGCAGCGAATGCCATACCGCGTTGAAGAAGAATAAGTTACCAGAAGCATGCCGGGTAAACAACTTGGCACTCGGCTGTGGCCACCGCTACCCTGACGAGCTCAAAGAACTCTCACCTCTAGAGGAGCGTCTTATCGGACTTTACACTTCTTCTGGATGGATTACGAAGTTCACGATCGACATCGAGAAGTGGACCAACGGCCGTTACCGCAAACACAAACGAGGCCATATCACTGTGGTACCCAATAATATTCAAGGGCTGGTGGCCGAAGTCCTCCCCCATCCTCTACTCCAGGAAAGGGAGAATATCCATGTTTGTTTCGTTGGTGCTCGGCAGCCTCTCCCATCGGACATAGCTTTTATGCTTTTAGCAAACCCCGGAAAGCTGAGGCGAGCGCTTGTGTGGTTACGGGTAAATAACCCACTATACAAGAACATCGTCATTAGCGATGAGAATCTCCAGGGCTGGGCGCACCACTGTCCAGGGACCGAGGTATCAGAAGCCTTATTTGAACAGATGGTCCCGTATACCTTACGCGCAGAGGACGAGATCCGCTCAGGGCACTACGTGCCTGCGGCCGAACGTGGCCGGCCGGACGAGCCCGTCCGGGACGCCAACGAGGTACTCGCCAGCCTCGAGGATAGGCACACTGATGCCGGCCACCTTGAGGCGGAAAGCAATTCGAGGCTGGGCGGCATCCGGAGCCATGGTCATGATCCGGGTGAAATGCATCCTCGACATGTTGAAGAAGAGCTATGTGAGATCACGTCAACGGGGCTTCTTGCAGTTGACCCTGCTTTTGAGCACACACCAGAGGAACGTCTTCAAATCCTCCGACAAGCGACAATGGTTAGTGGCCGGCGCTACCGAGGGCGGAAGCCGAAGGGTATGCGCGAAGGCGCGAGTCTTGCCATCGACAGCACGGAGCCCTTTATCATCAGCCGCAGGGGTGAGGAGTTCGCAGACTCAAACGAACCTGACTTCTTTCCCAAAGCCTTCCCGTGTCTGTTCCCCTGGGGTCGGGGAGGGCCCAAGGTATTACATGACGAGGGTGAAGGAGATGGCAAGTCGCAGGGACAGGAAGAACATGACTACTATAAAGCTCCAGGTTTTTTCCTTCAGCAATGGGCAGCAATCCTGCTACAAAGACATGGTACAAACACATTCAACCATTCTCAGGACCTAGCTTATACTATAAATATAGGTGCTCATTTTGCAACACACCCCATATTCCCGTTCCTTATTTTTAATATGCTAGTACGCAGCGAGAATCGCCGTATCAGCTACATCCGGATACAGAAGCCGTCATTTGGAAGAGTAGAACAGATTCGAGAGTCGCTTCAGCGAGAAGAAATGGAGGCGGCCATGGAAGAATACCGCGAGACCCGGACCACGACAAACGAGAGGATATCTTTCCTTCTACGAAAGGTAAACTCATTTGGGCCCAGGCAGCATATGTCGAACGAGGAACCGCTTTCGATAAGACGAAAGATCAAGTCTTTATGCATCAAGTACGGCATGCCTTGTATATGGTATACCATCAACCCAAACGACCTCACGAACGAGGTGAATATGAAGCTAGCGGCGTTTAGGGTAGAGGACGGGCCAGTAGCAGAGGAGCTCATAGCACAGTTCCGGAAGCAGATTGGGCGGGTCCAGCACGTTGTCCGAGACCCAGTCAGCTCAGCTAAGTTCTTCCACCGAGAGATGGACCTCTTCTTCAAACACCTTGTCTGTACTGGAGAGGCTTCTATATTTGGTAAGGTGTCTTGTTACTTTGGCTGCGTTGAAACGAACGAGCGTGGGGCGCTTCATCTTCACGGATTCCTCTGGTTGGAAGCAAATATGAGACTACCCAACCTGTTTCAAGACATAGCCAACCCAAACAACGCGGGATACGGGGATCAGGTCTGTGAATATATCGACTCTGTTTTCAGCGAGGTACGTATCGAATATCACAAAGGCATATCGTATCATTAATACCAAGCGAACAACAGTGTGGAGACGAAGCCAAAGCAAAGCAATACCGTAGATGGGAGACAGTGTTTGATAACATCAAACACATCACCCAAAACATGGACAGGCTTGCAGAGAACTATGACAACGAGGCCAATATGGTCGCATGTCGATGTCAGATCCATGGATGTGGTGCTACATGCACAAAATACAGCATCAACGACAAAGCCCAGGACAGATCTCGGCATCCTTGTCGCTTCAAAGCACCATGGGCCCAGTGGCCGAAGACCGAGTTTACTCCCAGCGGCCTTCTCCGTATACAGCGAAACCATGACCGGATCAACCGGTATTGCCCAGCTCTTGCAGTTGCCATGCGACACAACACAGACTCCATGTTTCTGCCAACAAACTCGGCATCATTGTCAATGATTTACTATGCGACAAACTACTCAACGAAGCTGGATACACCCCTTTGGAAAAGAATAGCGCTGATGCTCGACCTGTTTGACGGCCTAGATGAAGGAGCCTATGGTGTCACACCTACTGGTGGCAGTGATACGGCACAGACCGCACAGCGGAACAACAAAACTCGGCAGTTTTTCGCCCGGCTAGCAAACCAGATCTTCACCAGCCGTGAGATCTCTTCGGTGGAGGTATGTAGTAGGCTGCTCAAGTATAAAAACAGTTATTGCAGTCAGCAGAACTGGGGGAACATCACCCTTAGTGCTTTGTACTGGGTCCTATTCCGGCGGTGGAACCATCTCCGAGATGCCGCAGACCCGGAGACGCGGCTCCGTGCCGTTCCCGAATTTGTGAGCTTTGGCCCCGGTGGTCGTAGCCTACCGGCACTCGAAGCATACACACATCGCGGTCCGATTCTTGAGGAGCTTTGCTTTTATGATTACGTTGCTCTGGTAAATGTACGGAAACGAGGACCAAGGTCGAGAGTAAACAAGGAAAACTTCTTACCTTTCGAGACCACACTACAAGACCACGATTGCTGGATACAGGAGTTACGACCGATCCCGAAGCAAGCCGTTCCTGTCATATCTGGGTACCTAGACTACGACCCACGTGGAACAGAGGAAGGCTTTTATCAAAGGTAAGCATTTACAAGTATAACATCAAATAGAAGCTTAACGCACTCCATAGATCGGCATGCATACTCCTTGGTCTATTTGTGCCATGGGGTCGGTTCGTCGATCGTACGGAACAACCGTCCGACCTTTGGGAAGAACTCCAACTAACCCTCCCTGGCCGCATCAGAGCCTTAGTCGACAACGTCAAACTCCTCCACAAAAGTGCAGAAGATGCCAAAAAAGACGCAAAGTTGTGGGCTAGTCGTAATGAGGGCGATGAGGGGCTGGAGTTCGACCCGGTCGCGGACGAGGTCGATACAGGCGTAACGTGGCAGCCGGATACGACGAACCTCTGCCATACTTTCCATGATGCTATATATGGGTTAAATAGCGGGCCGAGCGTGGCAATGGAATCCCCGGCCATCCAAGGACTCCTGAACTCGCTTGACGAGACCGACTTTTCTAACATTCCAAGTAATAGCGACGATGACGAAAGCGGTGGGGGGCGAAACGCGACTCGTCACTATCACATACCAATGGTCATGGCCAAACGAGACCTAAACTCCACCAAAGCGGCACAGGACAGGCTGCATAAGGAGAGGATGTTAGCTATAGAAGGCGATGAGATGGCTTCAGGACGCAATCATACTGGTGTTGGGACCGGGTTCGATGACGACGTAGCAGACGAGGTTTACTCAGCAGATCCTACACCTCCACGTACGTGGGTTGGCATCGCACCCAGCGACAACTTCGCACGGGTAGGGGCGGTCATCAGCGAGGCTAGGACACTGAACCGGATGCAAAAGATAGCCCTTGGCCTCGTATGCGACGCTCTGGACAATCAAGGGACTGCCACCGAGCAACAACATCTCCAATATATCGGGGGTGGTGGCGGGACTGGGAAATCCTGGCTGATCGATTCCTTGAGAGAGGTTTTTGCCGACAAAGAGTCATCTAGCCGGCTCGTGATCACCGCGACCTCCGGGACTGCGGCAGCCGGTATCGGCGGCACCACCATCCACTCCGCCGTGGGGTTAACCTTCAAGGACCAGGACGGGCAGACTAGCGACACCACTTTGACTGCCAGCCTGGACAAGGCCAAGCAGAGATGGCGCCGACGGGATGTCTTGGTAATTGACGAGGTCAGTATGTTGGGCCTGCCGACACTTTATGACATCGACCAGAAGCTAAGGATGTTGAGGGGCTTCGCGGACAAGCCGTTTGGCGGCATGCCCGTGGTAATTTTTACGGGCGACTTCTTACAGTTTCCACCAGTAAACCAGAGCAGCCTCCTCAAGGACTTCACCAAGCTGCCCGATATTACAACACACACTAGACCGAGTAGGAATGCATCGGAGAAGAGATGGAAGGAGATGGAGGCTCAAAAGCTCTGGCTGCTGTTTACCGACGTCGTAATTCTTGAGGAGCAGAAACGAGCCCAAGGAGACGCCTATCTTCTGGGCCTACTGGAACGCATCCGAGAGGACAGGCAAACGCTAGAGGACGCCGAACGACTCCAGACACAATATAGGGCCGACTCGAAGTTCGATTTCTCCGGCGGCAGACGCGCCATCATACCGCTTAACAGACATAGATAGGACATAACGCTTCACGCTACTCTCGCATATAGCGCAGAAACAAACCGGAAGATATCGCTCTATCTATCAGGACACAGATGGGAATCGCGGGTCCCTGCGGCAGCAGAAAGAACGGCTACTATGCTACTAGGAGACGGGACTAACCTCCCTATAGCTGGGATGTTCCCGTTTGTCGAGGGGATGCCAGTAGTGGTCAATGAGAACAAGTATATGGGTCTCAAGGTCGTGAACGGCGCAGAGTTTACGGCCGTAAAAGTCCTTCATCCGCCCGGGTTGGAAGAAATCCATATAAGCGACAAGCTCTCAATAGTCCTCGGGCCCCCAAGCGGCATCGTCCTGCGGTCCAAGGAAACCGACGGCCTGGCATTCCCCAACTTACCTCTAGGCACTGTGGTGCTCCCAGCCAAGAACGTCCGGATAGAGAAGCAACATGTGAAGACATTGCGACCGGGGATGTCGAGCAAGACCAAGCTGGGGCTGATTCGAACGGGACTGCCGTGCTCGCCAGCCTTCGCGCTGACAGACTTCAAGGCGCAAGGAAGGACGCTCGACAAGACTCTTTTGGGGCTGTACGGAACAAGGGGTACAAAGGGTATAGGGGCGTCTGGCCGAACCAGCAAATGCAGTGCCATAACCATGTACGTACAGCTATCGCGTGCTCGGCGTTTCGATGACATCGCCCTTATCGAGCCGTTGAATACGGCAGACTTCCTGGCAGCAACAATGCCCAAGGACCAAATAGAGGGCATGAAGAGGCTTACGGCTCTGGCGGAGGAGACTGTCGCACGGTTCGAGGTAGCGGGGCGTCGGCAAGGCTGACAGATGGGTAAATAGATAGACCCTGGCAAGCTTCAAGGCAATACATACCGATCATCACCCAGCCCCTCTCCAGTGACCATGTCAGCGTCGGCGTCGGCATCTTGGGCCACGCTCGAATCCTTCAGCATACACATCGTAGGAGACGTCACAGGACCGCTGTGAGCTGCCTGTTGAGTAGTGTGCACTCCCCGGGTCTCGAAGGTACGATGAAGCGACAAAAGCAGTGATACTTCCGATACCTGATGGCCCATAGACTGGATATCCCGCGTCAGTTGAGCCACAGAAGCATGAGCCACCTCTATACGCTGCACGAGTGACTTAAGCTGGAAGAGCAGCTCAGCCGCAGACATCCGGGCAAAGGTCGACGTCCGATCGGAAATACCCGCATTCCCGATCGCCCTGACTTCCGCCTCCCAGCGCTCGAACGAGGGAAAGCATTCCCTGAGAGTCCCTGATGGCTGGGCGACGGTAGGAGCAGCAGGCAGAGCACGCCGATTAAAAGAAGAATCTAATGGCGTCAATCATATAGAAATATAGGTAACATAAGGCATACGTACGGAAACTGCACAACGACGACTGATTGTTCCAGAAACAATTAGCACACGCTCCTCGCGTAGTATGCAGGCCGTCGTTAGTCTGAGCGACGACACATTCCCTCCAGGGCCCATTCGCACGCCCACACCGGTCGCACGAGGGGCGACGCTCGATACCAGTGCACTGGATCAGGGTCGCAACAACACGATGGGCATACGTCAAAGGGAGCTCCTTTCCCCGCCTACGAGGGGAGGGATCGCGGGAAATAGGGGATACAGAAAGGACCGCAATAACGCGATTAGACCGCAACGATGGGTTAACCTTGAGGCGATCCAATAAATCACGGCCGGCTGCAACATACGTAAGCAAAACGGCAGCAAAACCACATACGGACCAGGGACAAATAACCCACTGGAACACGGATCGCTCGATAGCTTCGTCGCAGATTGGGATGGGGAGGGAGGCATGGCGAAAGGTTAGTTACGTCAATGGTTGTAGGTCACCAACTAACTATGTACCTCAGAAAATAGATAAAGAAATAAAATGCGCCAGTTTGGTCGTAAAGCGAAGCTACAGCAACGAAGACATACGTAATATACCTGGTCATGCCGGAAACAGGTGTTGAAATCGTCATGAGTATGATATGTGCTCTGGAGTGCATGGATATGGGCGCTTCAGCAGCCTACCCCCCCCTGCTCGCACGGGCCGAACAGGCTCCGCACGCGGGGAAACTATGTTCCCACGGGCGAGTTATGGGACGACAAGTTCAAGTGATGGGAAAAATCCCCTTATCAGCAAAGCATGGGGGATAAGCCCTCCAGACATGTCATATCGATTGGACTGAAAGGTGACAGACCCGCTGTGCATATGGGTCTGCTTAAGCCAGTAAAAAGGCCACGCACTCCGAGTAAGAACCCACAAAAGTTGCGGCTCTCAACCAATACATTTGAAGGTTCTTTTTTGCCAATCAGCTTCAAGCTTTGATTTTACAGGGGTATGGTAGGAAGTGGTAGAAATGGATTTTTTCTCGGGCCTTGTACATTCTAGAAGAAATAAGATTAACCTTCCTAACGGAAGGCATTTACCGATTTAATGGGGTGAAGATGGCTCGTGCATTAGTGCACCAATCAACGCTAGAGCAATCATTACATAATCTTCCCATGCTCACTCAGGCAGCACCTACTCAAGTATTCGCCGTCGGAACGCGTCGGGATACGTCCGTCCGTGTACAACCATTGGCCCAACCTGTCCGTCGCCCCACCCATCACCCCCTGCCCGACTTGGAAATTTCAACGCGTTCCCTGATGCATCTGATTGGCCGATAATACCTGATTGGGACCCACTTGCCGCTTCAGTTTCTCCATATTCAAATAAAATCTCGATGCGTTCCGAAATAAAACCTCTTCTCCTGACTGACTGTTTATGAACTATAAAGGAGAGCAGGTCGATAGCTTTTGCTATATAGAAAAAGAAAGAAAAAAAAAATTCGTTTTAAATCACACCTCTATTTAAGTATTTAAGAAGAACGGTTGAATTAATAAATAGCGAACATGGCTCTCCGATGTCCCCTTTTGCCGTCGCCGCTACCCGGGCCTATGATACTGCATAACTTGATAGGTAAGCAACGCCGACGCCTGGAAGCCTTGCAACTGCACTTGAACGAGCCTGAGCTGGTCCTCATCTGCCGGCCTTGCGGCTACGCCTTGAAGCCCTTCGGGGAGCGCGTGAGTCGCCACCTGGCCGAGAAGCACGACGTGCCCAAGCGGCAACGCCGTGGGCTGAGCACGCTGGTGAAGTCCCTACGACTGGGGGACCCGAACGACGTCGCCCTCCGTCCCGACGGCCTCCCACCGCATGAAGCGCTGACGGTCACCCGCGGCCATGCCTGCCGCCACTGCAGCTACCGGACGGCAAGCGATGACCTGGTCTGCCGCCACCTCTCCAAGGCACACGGCATCAAGGACTCGCGGAAGGCGGACGGCTGGCAACGGGACCATATCCACAGCGGTGTCCTACTCCAGAGCTGGTCACAGAACGGTACGCGGGGCTTTTGGATAGCACAGCCGCGAACGTCGGAGTTGCCGCCACTCGGCGATGATATGGGTACTCTCGGTGCTGGCGATCCATCACCGCAGGCCGCGCCCGCTGCCCAACAGGCCCTGCTCGCCGCGGCGCATCATGCCGAACGAGCCCACCTGGCTAGCAGTCCCTGTGTCACTACCGCCGCTATAGGCCAGGTCGACGTGGCTTTCCAGACAGGCTGGATGAGTCGCACCGGCTGGGATCTCATGTTTGACGGTGCCCGCCGCGACTTTCTCGTAAAGATGTCGCAGCTGCCGGCTCTTGGTCGGGACCGCTGGGACGGCGAGAACGATATGCCCCATGCGAGCTCTCGAGAGGATGAAACTAGACTACAATATATCATGTCGGCCGTGGATGGCGTTTTTGACCGTTGCGAGGAAACAATACGCCACACTGATGTCTCCATGCGTTGCTGGCTCCGCAGCTCGGAGCCCCACCGCCCTTACAAGGCGCCGTTTGAGCTGGTCGCCCGGCGCTCGTCCACTTATAAATACCGCCGATCGGTGAAACGGCTTCTGTGCTTCTGCATTCGATTATGGCGCCTTCTACTGGGAACGCGGTTGTCGCACTGCCAGAGATCACTCACCATCGCTCAGTCGCACGCGCTTGAAACATTCTGGTCGGATGGCATCTGGAAGACATTACGCCCGGACGACGCCCCCGTTGTCAGCCCTATCGATTCCGACGCCGCCTCAGCTGACGAAGATGCAACAGATGCGGACAGTCAAAGTGTTTTGCGGATGAGAACAAGGACACGGGCAATGGGGATATCATCTGCTAAAGCACCTAGCTTTTCAGCCGGCCGTAACAACAGACATGAAATCTTAGAGAGCTTACGTGGAGATCTCAATGACAGCAGTGACTGTCATGATGTTGATGATGGAAGCGCTACCGAGACTGGTGATGACAGTGACTATGAAGACCTTCTTAGTGAAGGGTTGGAGTGTTTGCGAGATGATGAGTGTGACGAGATGTCTGTCAGAACTCATGCTACAGAGGACAGGCTGTCAACCGACGCAGCAGCCGAGTCTCTGTCGTTCTCAGGCTGGCTCTATAGTGCCCTTTCTCTTGCTCTTTATCTGATACGAGTTCGTAGATCGGAGTCTGACGGGGGATTACTTCTCAACTGCTCTCGAAGACCTCACGCTGCGTCTGTTGTACTTTCTGATGACGGAGGAGTTTGAGGATGGCCAGTCCAAGTCGACCCTACTGGTCTACTTCAGCCGTGTCCTTGGCCTCACGTCCGACGGGACCGGGTTCCGACGCCCGGGGAACTACACGGCAAATCTGTCGGCGTTCATCTACTGCGCCCGCTTGGTAATCATGGAGGTGTTATGTCAGAGCCCTCCCGGATAGGGGCTAGTCAGAGGTAGTAAGGAGTCCAAGCAACAAAGGAGCAGCTCAGATATATATACAGCGCAGGGAGTACACGTCGAGGGAGGAGCAGATTTCAGTAATTCATCATTCTACCTCTAACTGCAGTTGGCCTCTAAGAGCTTCCACCCTGCGTCAACAACCCCCAACTTGACAACCACGTCGTCTATAATTAGATTGTCCTTACGATAAAAACGTTCCCGAGTCCTCCATCTTATCTAACACTGACCATAGGCACTTTATCTCCGTAGGGCTATTTGCGTATAGCCTTGGGTCGGGAGATGTCGTCGAGGGTGAATGGAGCCAAAGGCCGTCCACCATGCAGTTCTCTAAGACGACTGCCTCCAAACATAGACTATCCTGGAGACTCCTCAGAAGCGAAGACCACGTCTTCGGCCCCCCTTCGGTGATATCAACCGTGTCGAGAATCAGCTCCCGAAGCGTATCGCGATGCCTCCCCAGCAACATTATAAGCTCGTCCTTGGTGCAGTCGACGAATTGGAGACACAGGCTCTGCAGGCCGGGGATACGAAGGTCCTCGGAAAGCCTCGGAAATTGCTGCCTTTCGTCGCGGGGGTTGAAGTGCAATGTGAAGTTGGTCAAGGTGGGGAAGATACGTAGGAAGCGGCAGAACTCTAGACACCAATCTGAATCCCCAGCCCAGATTGGGTCGGTGCGAGGAACCAGCTTCTTCGCATCCTCGCCAAACGTGTTCTCGTGGTCGTTCGGGTTGACCACAAGATGCAGGGTCTTGATGGTAGTCAGCCGATTTGTCAAAGTCTCCTCGACCGCCGGCGTCATCGACAGCATACGTGGGGTGACCGAGGTACAACCCGTTTTCAGATGCCCAAAGCAAATATAGAGTCGTTCTATGGTATGGCGGCCGTAGAGAAGTCCTGCGAACAGAGTTCGGATCAACGTTGTGGCGAAGACCATGCTCTGAGCCTGGAAGGGCGTGACGAAACGGGTTGGAAGGGTGCCGATGCGACGACCGAGCCGGAAGGCTCCCCAGGGACGGACGCCGTCGTCAATCCCGACAGCGCTGCAGCAAGGGAGGTTCGATAGCGCGCGAACTACGTGCCTGATTCCAAGCTTTGCTTGGAGGAAGTCCTCGTAGCCGCCCCATTCGGCTTTATACGTCTCGATGACAGCGTCATACTCATCGTCACCGAACGATATAGTCTCACCGTCACTTCGCCTGACGCAGTCATACTCGTCGTTAATTCCGCATATACTGTAATCTGCTCGGCTTATGTAGTCCGGAGGCGTAACCAGGTGATCTGTAGTAAGCTCGACGACCTGTACGGCGCGGCGGAGGACCGGATGGTGCGAAATGTCGACGAGGTTCTGGAGGCTCTGGCGTTCGAGCATGACATGCCGCGTGCGGAAGAAGCGGTCCTGGAAAGGCCCCGACGTCTTGTCAGCCAGGGCACGGCAGGCAGAGCGCAGGCCCAGCACATCAGGCGACTCGAGGTATTGCGAGATGTACCCGACAATCTCGGCAGGCAGAGTCGGGAGCCGGGCTTGCGCCATTTTCAAACGGACTGTTCATTCGGACGGGAACGGAGGCAACGAGATACGGACCGGTTGGTCAGACATGTTAAGCGCCGTCGTAAAATTCCCCGCACCGGAGGATGACTAATGTACACTCCCAGGCCTCCTGTCAGACCTGGACATTGGCTCCCAATAGGCTCACGGGTACCCGTGCATGTAAAATTCCACGGGTACCCGTGAAAATGACAAACCCCTTCGACAGCAAATCATACTTCACCATACATGTGACTGCGACAACTATGTGAGCTTGAATGATTCTAAACCCTCTTATGCTATGGTAATATCATCGACGACAGTAAACCAGTTTCTCACCACAGCAATTTCATTCCTCCTCACAAACACAACCATTGTCTCCGTCACTTCGACGAGGAACCCATTCATGCTAAGCCAATCGGAAGGGACACAAAAATGACGCGCGTAGTGGTCCGCCGCCAGCTCGATGGAACTAACCCAGTTGAATCTGTCGATAAATATAAGCTTAGAGCCAACCGAGCCCAAGACTTTGGCGAGATATCTAGCAATTCGCTTGACAGCGGCGTTGGGTGAAACTGAAGTGGACGTCTTTGCCAGCGGTGACGGTCGCAGGGAAAAGATTGGCGGGTCCAGTGGGTTCGCAGATGGCGAAGTCATAGCCAGGTACTGATCATCGAAGCAGAGAATGGCTGTCTCCGGAATTCCATCCACTTCCCAGATGTGTGAAGACCGAGACTTTGTGCCTGAATGAGGGACTCCAGTAAGCTCTGTAGTCGATTCGAGGCTGTCGGACCTGAAGGAAACAGGGCCGTTTGAATCGAGAAGAATGACTTGGCCAGCTTTCATCAACCATTTCCATGGCTTGACGGGGTCATGGACACCACTTAGTAGTACCATGATTTCTGGATCTTCATCTGCCGCAATATGTTGCCCTCGGATGAGTGATTTGACTCGTTTCCCATTCTCAGTGCTGAAAATGGAGATGGCGGATGGCGAGACTATAAAGAGTCGTTTGCTTTCCACGAAGAGTTGACTTATCGAGTCATCGTATTTGATACGGGCCAACGGCTCTCCAACGTCAGTAAACCTCCTGTTGGACATCTTGTGAACCATCACCGTGCTGGAATCATCAGCGCTCGCAATTAAGCCGCTATGAGAATCGAAGCTTAGATGGGTGATTGCCGCCCCCTGGCCATGGTTATAGAGTACGCGTAACTGTTGACCTGTCTGAGCATCGTAATGGCAGACTGAACCGTCATCTTTCCCACAAATGACGATTTCTCCTACTGATTGAACAGCACAAGAAGTGATCATTACAAGATCTCCGTCATCGGCCAGATTGATTTCTTTGGCTGTGGTGGATCGACCGTCGCTGTCGCTGTTCTGATCTGCAGGTTCTTGTCTTATCAACTCGGAAGGCTCCCAAACGTTGCACGTTGAACCACGTATGTCAATGAAACGTCGGCCGTCGACGCTCAGAGCTAAAGACTTAATCCCATCGTCAAAAGAATTGATACGATAGAGTAGCTTCAACGTATCGAACTCGAATAATTGGATATTCCCAGCTGAGTCCCCTGTTGCCAGGGTTTTGCCATCGGGGGAACAGGCCAGGACCTCGCCCCCTGCCATAGCTGATGCAATTACCACGTCCTCCTCTGGGTCAAACAAAATGAGTTCGCCGTCAAAGTAAGTCGCTGCCATCAACTTTATCCCTGGCCTTGAACAGAAAATAGCACTGAGAGCTGGGGCCTGCCTCACTTTCTTCGCGGGTTGACTGTCAGGGCGACGATTACAGTACCCAAAAAAGCATTCGTTCTCCAAGTCCCAGATCATGACCGAGGGCGCTCTGAAGACGATCGCCAAGAGGTTCAACTCTAGTGAAAAGGCAGCCCCTAAAGGTGCGCGCGCCACCATTGAGTGCTCGTTTGTCGAACCAGAAGCTTGGTCAACCAGGCTTGTGCTGCTTAAAAGAGCACCGCTGTCGATTTTCCAGGTCATCTTCTCGTTATTTCGTAGAACAGCTGAGACATGCTGATCAAGTCTGTCGAAACATAACGCGAGACACTGATTACCAGTGTCTTGCTTCAGTATCTGGTCGCCAGTATGAATGTTGAAAACTTGAATGCTCTTCATTGCCCCAGATGCTAGCATTCTTCCAGAATGGCTGAATTCAAGACTCTTGATATGTTCAAAGTGGTGCATGGTTCTCAGGACCTGGCAAGACGTTGTCTGGAAGACAACGATCAGCCCGGAGGAGTAGCCGACAGCATAGTGTCCGTCTCCATAAGCTGCGGCAGACGTCTGCTCTCCTGGCGCCACAAAACAGGATATTCTATCGTCCCAGGACTGATTCGAAAGTCCTTGTACCGTAATAGAATGTCTTGAGGTCCCAAACTGCTTGTAGACTGCCGAATCAGGCGGACAGAAAGGGGGAACAAGGTTGTGGATGGACCATGGCGCCATCAATAGTTGTCGTCCAAATTTCGATGCCAACCGAAGCAGATCGATGCTCCATGTAGCGATGATAGGGTGCTTATCATCTTCAAAAGAAGGATGCTTCGATAGGCGCCGCCTGAGGAAACCGTCCACTACCTTGGCTGTACGAACAAGGGGCTCAAGGTTTCCTGATTTGGCGACTAGCTCAATCCAGCGCAAGACATTTGATGATGTCACGAAGTCATGGAGCAACATGAACACGTCTCTGTCTCCAGAACTTGTGCCCCGCACGTGCTCGAAGAACGAGCTACAAGCGTAGGTTGCGAATGTGGAGGGTTCAGACAGAATTCGAGCGGCACTTGATCTTCGTCCTCTAGGTCCTTTCATTTCGTTCCCCAACAAGTATCCGAGACACACCTTCGCTAGTCTGCCGTGACAGTCGCTTGATTTGAGTGCGAATTCAGAATGGAGCTTCGGTTGCAGCAGAAAGTCCCTTGCGGTCTGGTGAATCATACGTACTCGATCTTTTGAGTCCACGTACACAAGGTGTCCACATGCGGATGCGACTTTCGAGGCCAGGTCAGGGATGGTATCTTGCTGGTCAAGTTGCAAAGCTTCGTCCAGCTCGCCAACTGTTAGTGGTCTTGATGAGAGCACTGTCCAGCGGATAATTGCTTTTGCAACTTCTCTTCCATACTGCACTTGCTCCATGCTCTTCAAAATTCTGGAGTACAAAGCATCCATGCCGACAGGAACACTATCGAGTATTCTCTGAATATCTTTGGGGGAGTACGCCTTGCGAAGCTCATCGACCACCAGCTTCACCCAGAGGAAGCAGCCGTCTGCCTTTCCGATGATCTGCTGGATAAGCTCTCGACGAGCAGAGTCATCTTTTTCTGGAAACAGATGCCTATTGGCCTCGATCATTGTGTGGATATCTTTCGCAGATTCCTCCTTGAGAAGCTGTTCATGGTGCATCCGAAGGCTTCCGGCACCAGGAGGCTGAGAAAGCACGGCGCTGGGCCGGGCCGTTACAAAGACACGCAACGGATATTCTTGCGGAATCTCTCCCAACATTTTTACGAGCTCATGGCGTTCCTCGCACTCATCCAAACCATCCAGAACCCAAAAGTAAGGTTGGAACAAGGGCGTTCGAAATATGCCACCCACAAATAATTTCTGCCATATTGCTCTGAAATTGGACTTCGCGAGCTGTGAGCCGTCCTCAATCATAGCTAGCAGGGTATCTCGGACGTAAATGTTGGACGACGCCATCTGGTAAGCGATGGATCGTAAGCAATAGCTTAAATCTGAGCCGACTTTGGAATCATGCGTGAAGAAAAAGTAGCTGCATGAGAAATTGGCGCCCTCCAGATGATCCTTGATGTGAGCCGACATGACTGACTTGCCCGATGCTGGATTTCCACTTAGCCAGTAGACATTTTGTGCCCCGGAGTCTCTCCACTCTTGGAATGTTGGCCTCTCCACCAACCAGTCGCAGGTGTTCTGAATTTTCAAGTAGCTGTGGTGTAAATATTGATCCTCTGGGGGTTGATGAATATCTAGAAAACTTTCAAGGCGCTGCTTGTGCTCTCGCTGCATGTCTGTCCTAGACCTGGACCCTGTTGTATAATCAGAATCGACGAGACCCCAGATGCCACGACGGGTTTGGGAAAGAAGTACATACAGCCTTCTGAAATCCCCTCAATTGCATGGGCGAAAGCATGACGGAGGATGAGGTAGTTTGAATCTTCCGGCGTATTAAACTTGCAGACACCTCGATGGTCAGCGTTAATGTAAGCCGCTCTTTCCCCCGCATATCCGAGGATTGCAGAGTCTTTCTCCACAATCAGGCTGCTTCGAATTCCAAGGTTCGTTGGCTCTGTCTCATAGAAAGAGTATAGACTCAATCGGTCGTGAATGTGGCGGAATTCGTCGTTGATGGACTCGATGGAGGGAGAATTCTTTCGAAGATCTGTCAGGTAAGAATGGTTTCCCAGAGACGCTGCGCGTAGCAAGTTGGAAAGCAGTTGTGCCGAATCAGCTCCTCTGTGAGGCGTTGCAACGAAGAACAAGGTATTGAATCGGTCTGATAGGCCGTGATATATAGGATCGCGCTTGGCAAGGATATATGCTTTCTTGATAACGAGGCCACCCATAGAATGACCAACCATGACTAGTGGAAGCTGTTGTTGGCACGATGGTACTGTTTTAGCATGGTTTTCACTGTATCAAGCGGAGTCTGAGAAAAGAGACCGGTGTAGGCTCGATAACGTCTTCCAAGAAGAGTGTGTCAACGTACAGTTGCATCGCGTCTGATCAAAGGAGAGTCGTCGAGAGCGCCAAGCAGTGACTTTCCAAAGTCATGGACGTTGAGGACGGTATCATGGGGTTGAGACCAGTCAGAGTTGTATCCGAAAGAGTGTATCCGAACATGTTTGAAATCGGTATCCCTAGGAAGCCATTCTTTGGGCCAAAAATGCAGAGGATCTTCAGACTTGCTCCAAGTCTTTCTCGAGCCACCTCGAAGCCCATGGACAAAAACGAAATCGACGATCGGCTCGGAAGGGCTTGAGAGGAGAACCAGCCCGTATGGCCCACGCACTTCTTCTGCTGTTTCCTTGTTGTACTGATTCGACCTCTGACTTCGAAAGGTCAAGGTTCGGGCCAAGCGGGAGGAAAACGTTGATGAGCCATTGCTTTCTTTCCGTAGTGGGGTCAACTATCGGTCACGATTTGTGTCAGATTCATTGATGCAGTAGAAGCTTGTAGGGGTCGTCTGTCTTTTCGCTGTGTATGAAATAGAACTGACCTTGTCCATGGCTTTGATGGCCGTATCATAGCATTATCGATGTAGTGTGGTCGAAATATCGCTGCAAGTCTGGTAATGGTGCGCCCGAGCTGGGTGGTGATTGCAGGTGTTGTGGTTTGCGTCAGCATTCACGGATGGATAAGATGGTAGTCACACAACGCACCTTGGACGACGCGACATCTTACTATCCCTGTTCGGATAACAGAGCCTTGCTTACAGTTAACTCCGCAGACTGTTTTGGCTTAGTGTTCTGAGGCAGTGTACTTCGGCATATGCAAGTCTGTAGGAGCAGTATGGCGCGCCGAATCAAATCTTGATTCGGGGCACCCCCTACACAATGCGATATCAGGCTGCTCCGTCTCAGCAAGTGAACGCCCCGCATGTGATAGGATTCCGTCACACCATATTTCAGCTTAGCCCCTTCATTTTCAAAGTGCAATTAAATTTATCGGATACTCGGCCTGAGGCTGACTGCATGGTTGTTCAAGCTCTTTCGGCGACCGCAACTTTGAGATCAGGGCAAGGCGGTAAAGCGGGGTTGCGATAATCAGCATTCTTAATCAGGCTCCGACTTCCCTCCCATGCCATTCTGCTTTTGACCGATATCCAAGTCGTTGAATCCTTTGGCAAGGCATGTCCGACGCGACTCACCAAACCTTCCGATGGCTGCATATGAGCAATTCACAGAGTATGATGTCGAACTGGAAGTCCCGGAGAAAGCTGTCCAGGAGCTTGACGAAAACGTGAGAAAGTGTATGTCTGAATCCTGGAACCCATGTAGAGAGCTGGGAACATGTTGAATTTGTAAGATAGTCCTGCCTGAGAGAGGCACCTTCAAGTCCATGATTCCGCATGGCCCAAGTTTCTGGGGTCGCACAGCACGCATCAACATTGTCGAGGAAGATGGCTCAGACACGGCCTATTTCATGAAGGTACATGACAGCCCTTCAGAATTTTCATATTAGAACTGAAATCATCGTCTCTAGGTATGTCATGGCCAACGAGGCCATGACATGATGCTCGGCGAATTTACATCCATGACGGCAGTGCATGGCGTTCTGCCTGAATGCTCTCCGCGCCCTATTGGTTGGGGCACCTACGAATCAGACGCTCGGTGTCACTTCTACTTGGCTACCTTTCATGAGATGGCCGAAGAACTGCCCGACATCAATGCGTTTGCTTGGAAGGTTGCGGAGCTTCACCTGAGGAGCGAATCCCCAAATGGAAAATTTGGGTTTCCCGTAATGACATTTAGCGGCAATGCTCCGCAAGACAACTCATGGACAGACACATGGGAGGCTTTCTTTACGAAAGCATTTACCCATATGATTCGCTTGGAAGGTGAGACCCAAGGCCAGAGTGAGGAGATGGACAAGCTTGCATCCACCCTTATCAGCAATGTCATTCCGAGACTTTTGCGTCCCCTGGAGATTGATGGCAAAACGGTGAAGCCTTGCTTGATCCATGGCGATCTCTGGTATGGGAACGCTTGCACAGACCTGACGACGGGAAACCCCATTGTATTCGATGCTTGCAGTCTCTATGGGCATCATGAGTGTGAGTTGACCATTTAACGCCCTAGCTTCAGACAGAAAGCTAATTAATTGATCAGATGAGCTTGGAACATGGCGCTCCCCTCATTATAGGATTGGGAAGCCTTATGTTAGAGCTTATCACCAGAAATATCCCAAGTCAGAACCCGTGGAGGACTGGGACGATCGGAATGCTCTTTACTCAATGCAAGGCCTTCCATTTGTAAGATTAATCAAAAGGCTAGTCTCGCTGATCCAGTATCTAGTATGTTCAATTTGCATGAGTCTGTCCTGTACGCTGGAACTCTCAGATGGCGCGGAATGTGAGTATAGTCATATTTCACTTGAATGTCGACCTCTCAACTAACCTAGTCTTCTCATCAGAGTGATGGGAGAGATGAAACGCCTCATCAACAAGTTTCCTGAGGGCTTTGACGGATGGCGAAGCCAGAACCCAACCAAGAAGACCGGGCGTGAAATTTGAGCGTTTGGGCCCCGATGTCATTCGTTAGACTCACCATCTCGACGAATGGTATTCCACAATCTGCAAATGAATAGATCATGTTAAATGTCGAAAGTGAAGATCGAATCAAGCGCAACTTGTCATGTCTCTAATTGGGGCCATCTCAAGCAGTATCTGATGCCATGTAATCAACTCCTGGTTGCTCCCTGCTGTCAAATTCTAAACCACGTCCACGTTGAGACACGCGGGACCGTACATCAAAAACCCTTTGTTTTACGATTCACTATTCCTGATCGAACGCTGCATCCATCGTTTAGAAAACCTACGATTTTTTAGCGAAGACTCCATGCCCAAGTTTTCTTTCTTACCTGCGCCCAAACTTCTGGCCCACATCTACCATTTTCCCAACCTCCCGGAAGCCCCACTTCTCATAGAAGCTTTTGACTCTGTTGTCTTCTTCTGGATCCTCAAGGACCGTCATAAAGGCCAACATTTGGTCAATCGCTCCACCCTCTTCTAGGGAACGGAGAAATTTCTCCATCAGTGCGCTCCCAACGCCTTGTTTAATTGCCCCAGTATGACAAATGATAGCCAGCTCAGCTGTGTGAGAATATCCAACTTTGTATCCGCGAAAAGGAAACGCATGAATGAACCCGAGAATACGTCCTGCGTGTTGACTCTGTTGCTGTGACCCGATGCCGCTGCCAATTGTAAGCGACTGAGGCATGTCAAGCTCGTGAGAAGCAACCGCAACGAGATATGGCAAATCTCGGGACGATATATTCTCATATTCGGCAATGAATGAAGTCAGAGATGGAGCGACATGGTGCATGTCAGTGGGGGTGTGCAATATGTAGTGGCTATAGATGGCATGGACCATGTCCATATCCTTAAGCGTCGCAGCTCGGACAATAACGGACATCTCAGGCCGAGGAATAGATGGAGTAAATGGTAATTATGCCAAGCATAGGACCGTAGATGAACACAGAGTGCCATCTAACTATCTACTGGTGGGAAAGGGCTTAAGTAACCCGGCGTTTATCTGCATAGCCCATCATGTGGCAGCCCTCTCTGGCAGAAACAAGATGGACGTGGACACATGAAGGGTTTCTTGTGCCAGTCTGACCTGCATATGTAGTGCATCCTCCTTTACTGCTTGTGTTCATGGCAATTGGTCACCATCGAAACTCCCGGCAGTAAGCATGATGTCGTCATTACATCATCGACCCATGATGAATCAATCGCAATCATACGTACCTTGAGTAATTGAGCGGTTTTCTGGCAACGCCCTTTTTCGATCTCTGGCCCGGCAATTCAAGTGCGGCTCAAAGTGCGGCTCGTTACTAGGGTATGTTAGCGAAGGGGAAACACCTAACTACAATGATCTTATGCAACCGTTCCGTGCGGGCAGCCAATGAAGGGCTCCCTCTGCTTTTGAACGGCTTATAAATACGTCGCGAGCGCTGCCAATGCCAATGACACGTATTGGTCTGTTATTGACGGCTGCGACGCCTGAGTATCTCAGGTTCATCCAGGATCGATTCGCTTCGAATCCGGTTGATACCCAATGTATGAACGAGACCAGGGTTCCACTCGATCTTGACAACGCTCAGCGGCCACTGGACACATACTAATCAGCTGCTATGATCGGACTCTCAAGACCCATGCAGACTTGTATATATCTCTAATTCTTCACCAAATACATCTTATCAATATGGGGTGTCCAAATGTTTAACCACAGCCTTTGCTGAACGATGAGAAAAGGCTAAATCGTGTAATGTCGACTAATGCTCACTCGCACTTTGTACTTATTTCATGTCACATGCTTGGGGGAGACCTAAGCTAGTTGCAACAGTTTTATTCATCCAATTGACCAGCTAGATCCCATAGCAAATCCGCTTTGTGATATCCTCGTCCTATCCGGCCGGTGTCATTGAGCTTTTGCCATTTTTCCTGCTGCGTTGGGTATCGCATAAGCTGCATTGCAATTGATTTAATAACGTACATCCAAGCGGGCCTTGATGATCTATATTTCCGTTGCCGTCATCGCGTCTTACCTCCACAAGGATTTGTGAGACTCTATACGATTTGATCCTGCTCATTGGCAGTCGCTGCGCGATTCCGGCCAATGGATCTTGGCAGTGAGCCGTAATCAACCCCACATGGTACCATACATCAGCGTATAAAACATACCTTACGTATCATCAATCGGCTGACACCGGCTGTTTTTCGGTTCTGCCTTGCTGCCATGAGGACACTTCGCAAGGACGCATTTGGCTTCTGAGTGATTGTTCCCAGCCACAGCTTAAGAAGGCAGACATCAGTCGGGCTATCAACAGTCCATCCAAATTTCCTTTCAAGCTTAGGGAGCACGGATCGAAAGACAACATCTATTCACATTTGGGATACAGACCCATACGGCCACTCATTCACAAAGAAAGTTCTTTCGCTAATGGCCATGGAAGGGTTGGTCCTATTTACATTGCTGCTGAGATGCAAACCTTGACTGACGGTTTCGGCTCCAGACTTCATGAAGATACGCAAAAGAAGCCCGTGTTGTCCATGACCACGGTTGACGATTTCTCGGACTGCGATATCTGCTCCGCAATCTGGAGCAGACTTGGCGATTCTTCCGACAACGCAAAGAAGACACCACTCAATATCGGCTCTTTTGAGGAGGCACTGCATACCAATTGCAAAAGGCATAAGCGTTGAGTGGTTCAAGAAGTTTTGCGATGGAAAACGTCAAACTGAACAAAATCAAACTGGCCGTCCCCGGAAGGCATCGAAGGATGTTGGCATTCATCGTCCTCGACCAGGCGTCCTTGACTTGACAGAATCCATCGAAAGTTTCGGCTGGGATGCCGAACTTTGCCTCGTTAGAAGGGATTCTGTGAAAAATCATCCCGGCATCGCTCGTCTCCTGGACCCCAAATGGGTTGATTTGAGCGTCATCAACCACTGGCTGGAACAATGTGTGTCCTCTCATGGCACAAAGTGCGAAAATCCGGTGAAGATATGGCCATATCGCCCGGCCTGGGTTACACTCAGCAACTGCAGTAGAGGCTATCTCTGCAGCTGGTGATTATATCCCTGCCTTCCTTATCCTCAGTGGCTCTATTCATATGAGCAGATGGTATGAGATCAAGGACCTGGAGGCGGATACAGTGATTGGGGTATCGTCAACTGGTTATACAAATGACCAGTTATCCCTGGATTGGATCAAGCACTTTGACACACACTCAAGGAATCGAACCCAAGGCCAAAAGAGGCTTCTCTTGATCGATGGGTATGGCTCTCATCATACGGTTGAGTTCCTACAGTACTGCGAGGATCATAATATCCTCCCATTTGGCCTTCCTCCTCACTCAACCCATGTCCTCCAGCCTCTGGACGTTGTGGTATTTCAGCCTCTCAAGCACTACCACAGCCTAGCAATTGATGCAATAGTCCGGGAGGGCTGCACCAACATCACCAAGCTAGAGTTCCTCAGCTTTATACAGTCAATCCGCAAGCAGGCCTTCAAACAGTCTACTATTATTTCTGCTTTTAAGAAGACTGGGATCAACCCATATAACCCACAGGTAGTGCTGGAGAAGATTGCTGTTCGGGAGGGCACACCACCAAAGCCAACTACACCACCTAATAGAGGATTGGACTCCTCACCCTTCAGTACTCCTATAACTATCAGGAAACTCCGAAGAGTAGCTGATAGGCTATCTGAGGCCTCAGAGATCATCCACGACCAGATCCATGAGTTGACTGGAGAGGTATCACCATTTAGCCAGAACCTGGATCGCTTCATTAGAGGGGCTTTAACCCAAGGGTCTGAACTGATCCAGATCAAGAGGGATCTTTCAAGAACCAACTTAGCTGAACAAGTCCGAAAGGCTCGTCGACAGGCAAGAAACAGCCAACTTAAACAGGAGGGGTTATTCGAGTAAGAGATGGGAGGAGTATGGTGAAGCAGAGGCAGGATAATGAGTATACAAAGGCCCTTGGGGTTATTAAGTCAGCTGAGCAAAAGATCCGCCAAACCGCCAAAAAGGGGGCTTTTGAGGCTGCCAAAAAGGCTCGCATGATGAGGAAAGATGGGAGATTGCAGCTGCTATATATAGTTGATGATGGGGGTTGCGGCCGCTGGCTAAAGAGAGGTTGAAAGTGGGAATAGTTACAATTGATGCTTTTCTGGACATCTGGCCGATCTGGACATATGGGTGTTCAGCACCCACTTTAGTGGGTGACGAGTCCCGAGTTCCAATTAAAGTGGGGGCGGGCACGAGTAGATCGGTTCATTTCGCTAAATCAGGTCTTGAATTCGCTTGCCAGGATTCTTGGCCTAAATGAAACGTCGTCTAGTACGCGACAATTTAGGCTCTGAATCCCCTTTAACCTCTGTACTGGCTACGCAAGACCGCGACACGTTCTATTCACCGCGTATCAACCGGCTAATTTAATGAGATGGAGGGAGACATTCTCCCGAGCGTCCAGCTATCAATTATCGACGACGCGCAGCTTTTAGTTTGTTCTCGGGACGACTGCCGTATTGCTCTATCGCCGACTCCGAGCGGTGTGACCGAGCACCTACGCTCGCGGCATCAGATACCAGCAGAGAGGCGCAAACAGGTAACCTATACACTACGGCGTTCAGATCTGCGCCTGAAGGAGCCTACTTCTGTTGAACCACGACCCGACGGCGTTCTTATTGATAGCCGGCTCCGATGTTACGATGGATTCCTTTGCGATCTCTGCCCGTTCCGCACCATCAGCAAGCCGATGATGGCGCGGCATCTCAGTAGAGAGCACTTTCGGGCGACTACTGGAAGGTGGGCAAGGAGTCACGCTACAACTGCCTCGTCGTACATGCCCGTATACTTACAGGCTTGGGTTCGTAACCCGCCCCGGTCGCAGTACTGGACTGTTTCACTGGCTGATGCTGCCACGACGGAAGTCAGGCCCGTTGGACGCGATGAAGAGCTGCGTCACTTACACGACGTCCTGGCGCGCGAAGAAGCGTTCCGTCGGCGGATCAGCCGTACCCAAGGGAGAGTGCCTTGCTCTGCTGCCCAGGGGGCGTCTTCCAACAACACAGCAGCAGCATACACAGAACTTCGACCCTGGCTAGAGCGGACGGGATGGGAGCGGGTGTATGCCAACGTGGACCGTCAGCTTCTCTACTCGCTGACTCTACGGCCAGTAGAGCGTTCCTATCGCCCTCTTCTTCTGTCGGCAGGCCTGTCGCAGCATGACAACAATATCGTTAGCCCTGCTGATGACGAGGCCAAGATTGCAGCGCTCTGCCACGCGGCGTACAATTTCATCAGTCGATGCGAAGAAACGGCAAAAACGTCCAGCAGAAACTCACTCTGCTGGCTACGTAATGTGCACCCGAGCAACTGCAACCCGAAGCCCTTTACGCTTGTGGCAAAGAAGAACACCCGAGAACGTTACGTTTCCGTGCTCCAAAGGTTTGTGTCGCTGATCTTCCGGGTCTATCGGTTATCAGCAAATCTCCGACGAGACGCAGCCGGCGTGTCCCTCACGAAAGAGCACTGGGTTGCCTGTGGGAAGGTCTGGAACCACCCTGGTCTGAACATGAAAACTCCTCAACGTGGGGAATGGGAGAGTCTGAACACAGGTATCACCGCAGACTGCGCATGCGAAGATATGGGGGAAGTCAGCGAGAGGGATGGTTGGGAAGAGGATGGCAGCGATCTTGACGACCAGCAATCACTAGCCAGCAGCAGTGACGACGAGGGTTCTCAGTTCAGCGATGTTGAAGAGTCTTTTTGCGACGATAGCAGTCAGAACGAATGTGATAGCAGTACCAACACGCAATATCCAAGTACAGAGTAGAGTAGAGTAGAGTAGAGTAGAGTAGAGGTAGACGCCGCCCACGGCCCCGGCCCCCTCGGGTTAGGGCCAGCCTTTGGGGGGGGGAGGGAGGAGGGAAGGAGGGAGGGAGGGAGGAGAGGCTTAGGGACGTAGGTCATCATTATCGAAGCTTTTGCTTTGTGCCACAGTTGGTTGCCTTGTCCAGGTCGTACCATTAGATTGAATAGTAAGAATATGGTATCTACGGTAGTTCTATATTAAGTACCTACTATTACACTACGTAATGATGAAACCAGTGACTATATTATCTTGACGTTACCTAGGTATAAAAGCCTTTAGGTGTTTCCATCTGCCCCTAGGATAAAACAGAGATATGCCCCCAGGTGCACAACTGAGATATGCCCCCAGGTGCAGAACAGAGATTTGCCCCCAGGTGCAGAACAAGATATGCCCCCAGGTGCAGAACAGAGATATGCCCCCAGGTGCAGAACAGAGATTTGCCCCCAGGTGCAGAACTGAGATATGCCCCCAGGGGCAAAACTGATCATCTGCCCCCAGGTGCAGAACTGAGATATGCCCCCAGGGGCAGAACAGAGATTTGCCCCCAGGTGCAGAACAGAGATATGCCCCCAGGGGCAAAACTGATCATCTGCCCCCAGGGGCAGAACAAGATATGCCCCCAGGTGCAGAACAAGATATGCCCCCAGGTGCAAAAGAAGATATGCCCCCAGGTGCAGAACTGATCATCTGCCCCCAGGTGCAGAACAAGATATGCCCCCAGGGGCAAAACAAGATATGCCCCCAGGACAAAACAGAGATATGCATAGTTACCTTATTATGAGGAGTCTGTTTGCTACGCGCGCGTGCGTCCAGCCCACGGAAAGCTCCCTAAGGTAAAAACCTCATACTGAGGACTTAAGCTAAAACACATCGTTGAAATAAAAAGAGGACGATAATAGATAATTACCTGAACGCGGTAACTATATGTAGAGATTCAAGAAAAGAAGCCTTTACATCAACATAAATAAAGAAGGATAAGGAGGAGTTGCACCTAGAGCAGCAGCAGGCATGACGGACGAGCGCGAACGGAGGATAGAGAAGAGTAAAAGGAACCTATAGAGGAAGACAGGAAGAAGAAGAAGAAGAGGAAGACAGGAAGAAGAAGAAGAGGAAAAAGGACGCGACCAGAACAATAAGGACGCGACCAGAACAATAAGGACGCGACCAGAACAGTACGGTCGACAACAGGCTGTCAATAGACCGAATAGGTAGCTAAAACGCGTTAAACTAAACGGGTATAGCGTCGCAAAAAGCAATACCTTGCCTAACGCGTTTAGAGAGGATGCACCGTATAGCCATAAGATGCGTTACATTCTCCTTGCTAGTAGCAGGCAAACCGACACCAATAAAGATAAGCATAGTAAGGAAGGAAGGTAAAGGAGCTATTACGACGCATAAGAATACTACTTGAAGTAAGGTAGATAGATAACGGAAGAGGGGGGATAAGAAGTTGGGTATATGGTGGTAAGGGGAGAGTGGTTATCAACATGGGGAGGCAGAGCAGGGGCGTACGTGGGGCTACTGATGGAGCGAGGGAGACTGCAGCGCAGCTCGCCGGCAGATATGGGGATTAGTAATTCCGCTTCCGCGCGTGATGCTTCAACTGCACCCAGCCAGCAGTCAAAGAGAGCAGCGTCAAAGGAGGCATATCGCAGCAGGCACACCACCACACTAGAGTAAGAGTAGATACGTAGGTAGAAAATGATTCATAGAATGTTGTTTTAGTAGTTGTTAGGTTCTTATATTGATATAGTGAAGTACGGCTATGTGATGAATAAAAGTGTATAATTGAATGTAAAAGTAAGAGCAAAGTGAAGATGAAATAATGGTAGGCAAAGCTTTTTCTCCCACAACGAACTGCTTGCAACAACATACTAGAGCTTTCCTAACCTTGAGCAATTCAACTACAGCTAGCATATGCGCGCATATAAAAGGACTGTTGACGAGCTGGGCCTGGGAGGCAGTAATTTACACTACGGTGAAATATAGTATGTTGTATAATTGTAAACTAGTGTAGCCTGAAGCTGACTAGATGGGTCTTTCCCTACTAGATAAGCGCTTTATCTGTTTGATCTAGGGAATCGACTGGATGGAGGTGTTAAGGACAGGTAGAAGTGCCGAGACGGGCTCTAGCCAGACCAAGATAAGGTGAATGGCTATAGTATAGCTCCTCCTAACATGCAAGCTCACACGATGAAGGTGAATCCTATCCACAACCCTAGGGTGTTCAATACTAGATAGGGCCAGCGCTTGCTCTCAAAGCCTGCCCTCAAAGCCTGCCCTCAAAGCCTGCCCTCAAAGCCTGCCCTCAAAGCCGGCTATAGGAAGCCAGCGGCGGAGCGGACCCGGCGGCGACCCACCCGGAGGCATCGCGCTCCATACGTCGGTAGCCCAAGGCGACCAATCAGCAGGCAGAGACCCCTACCAGCACCTGCCCGGTCCCAGACCCTTTAACATGGTCGTATATAATAAAAGCCTAGGCTAACCTATACCTACCTTATCAGAACCCTAGAGGAAACCAACCATCACCACCATAATACTATAGACGATAATAATAGAGAAGAAGCGGAAGAGAAGGGCAAGGGACGCTGCCGAGGCGGCGCCTAACCGAAAACGCTAGACGAAAGAGGATGCCTTCCTTGGCGAGAGCGAATTAGTCCGGGAGCGCGCCAGGCCCTACCTACTCGCCGTGGCTAAGATGTTAGTCGATATGCTCGGGATAAGGTAGAGCGTCGGCAGGAACCGCCCGCTCGAGGTAGGGTATGCTTGCGAATTAAAGGAGGTTTTAAGAGGAGCGGTCTAGAACGCCGCGCCTTAGAATACTGTATCCTCGTACTCTATAGCGCCGAAGAGGTCCGCCGTATATAAAGCGCGTAGCCAGGGAGCGACCGGGGCAGTAAGGACGACTTTCTCGGCTGGGCCGTGGTGAACGGTAGTACGCCCGAGGTGATAGTAGGCCAGTACCGTATCGAGGCCCTCCGGGCGTATATGAAGGAGACGGGCGGGTCGGCGTCGGACCTATGGTGGACGTACGAGCTCTATGACCAAGGTGGGTAACCAACCGGTACCGCCCACGGGTAAGCGGGCGCGGCGGGAAGGCTAACGGCAGCTAGACCGCCTACCATCCGACCTCAACCTCAAGTTACGAGTCAACCGGAGGGACCTAAGCCAAGCCGATACCCACGGCCAGATCTGGACGTAGCTGGTATTGATCGGCCGTAACGCCGAAGGGCCGCTCCGGCGCGGGCATGTCAACGGTGATCTCAAGCTCGTAGAGGCGCTACGGCTGGGTAGCGAGAAGGGTTTCCCGATACGAAGGCTGGTTACGCTATAGAACCACTAAAGATGGCGGGATATGACGATAAGATAGTGCCGTATAAGGCTGGGCCTCGAGACCTTTAGTATCTCGACGTTCGAATGGATGGCCCGGCTCCGGGTCGACGATTACTGGTTTTCGATGCTAGATACGGTGCTCCGTACTATCGAGGCCCTGCCGCTCGATGGGTGCGGCGAACCCGGGTAGGCCGACTGGCACCGGATGGCAGCAGGTCTCGGAGGGGTCGGCCGACCACGGGACGTAGTAGAATCCTTTTTCTTCAAGGACGAGGGCGGCCGTCGCGCCCGGCGGGACGAAGGCCTGCTTGTATTCCTAGACGATGTTAGATACGGCGCCGTATACGAGGCTATTACGGCCGCTCCTAAGCTTGCCTTCCCCGACCTACGGCGCTTCCTCCGCACCAAGAAGGCCGACGTATAAATAGCGGTCCGTATCCTCTAGCATACCATCGCCTAGATCGACCAGGATAGCGCCGTCGCTGTTAATAAGGTAAACCTTAAGACCCAGAATAAGCTATTACTACGAGAGCACCTACTAGACGCGCTCGGTAAGATCGGCCGGTCTCGCGGCGTCAAGGGCTATACCGCCTTAGCAGCGGCGGCGCAATAGCTACAGTAGCGCGTCCTCAACTTTGTCCGGGATCACATCGACGAGTTTACCATAACGGAGGAGGCTAAGACGCTTATTAACAATAATATGTCACTCGTTAATAGTCCGGCCTATACCGACCGGTTTACCCTCGACTCCTGGGCCTGCCTTCTGCGCCTTGTAAGGCGTGACACCGACATAGACGGCTATATACTCCGCCCGGAGTAGTAGACCGCCCACGCGACGCGCCAGAGAGGGCATTAGAAACAGGTCTTAGCGCTAGTACGGACATTTTATGTAGATGTGTTCCGGCTAGCCGCCGACCGCCCCGGGCTACATAACGCCGCTATACGTTCAGACCTCCAACGTAAGATCGAGGCGCTCATCGTAGGCCTCCCCAACGACGCATCAATGCTAAGCAGCCGCACCGCCGAGTCACCACCCCCTAGCCCGGGAGGCACCATCGCGGATTCTAACGCCGGCGATACCGAACCCGTAGAAGGTAATACTAATAGCCAAGCCGAACCGAAACTACCGGAACCCCCGGTAGGCATACGTAGCCGTTACCGGTTCGGGTAGGACGACGTAGCCTCGTCGCTATCAACCGCCTCCCTATCAGAGAGAGGCTCGCCGCCCTCAGAAGCCCAAGGGTCGCTAGAGCCGACGGTCGATATAGGTAGCCGCAGTAGTAATAGCGAGGGTAGCGCCAGGAAGCATCTCCCCCACTAGAAGCTAGGCACCAGAGCCGGAATACCAACAGACCCAGGAAGGCGCCGAGGGGCCAAGATGCGGTAAGAATATAATATCAGGTTTTCAGGCCCATACCGGGACGAATATAGGAGTAGGCACCGCTCAACAGCTTCGATAAAGGGTGGGCAAGACTGGCCTACAGCAAGTCCGGGATGTGTAGATATAAGAACAGGGGGCCGCCCCACGTAATCAATAACCGATCGTCCGATACGGCGCAAAAGAAGAGCCCTGCGCGTCACATCACATCTGCCGGGTTATCACCACCACACAAACCGACTAGCATCTTATCTCCGCCCAACCACTAGTGTTTTGCCTTTATAGTGCTGTAAGGGAAGACCCAGGCGAAGACCTGTAGAGCTATGTATCCCGCCAGGGGTACAGCCGCCCAGGCCACTAATTCGAGCCTATATGGTCTCAGTAAAAACCCAGCGTAGCATTCGATCCAACGTGAAGCCAGGTATATTATCTATATCTATATAAGGAAAAGAAAGATCGGTAAGAAATAGGACCTGCGAGGAGGCGGCCCGCTATCTCATATCGGCGACAGCTCTGCACCCAGGGGCATAACCGCAGGTCCTCTATATCAGATGCGGCACGGATCGATCCGGGCCCCAAGCCACTGTCAGACGTCGTCTGGCAACAGGAGGGATTTGGTGCTGCCGCCTCTGTGTGTATAAGACTGGTCTATAGGATATTATGGTGAACGGGAGAGGAGCCAGGCCTCTCTCCCTTCCTGGGCATATATTACAGCTGGGAGGGTAGAGAGGCACTACTATGTAGTCTGTTGGCTGTAGACGAGAGGCTATGTAAACCCGACGTTTATTGATATTCTCTCTAGCTTATACGATAAATATAGAGAAGTGGTTTGCTATACTATCGCGTTATAACTAGTCCCCCAATACTGCTAACCGCATACCAAGCCAGATCACATTCATGCTATTGCTACGATGTCTACCGCACATGAGGAAGACGACTACCCTGACGACCTGTATGAGGACGAGCCGTCTGACGCCAACCAGCCCATGACCCTCGGCCGCGACGAACTATTTGCCAACGACCAGGACCCGCCTCAACAGCAAGACAACCGCCAGAGATGGGCGGTAGACCACTCTTTAGGCTACCATAAGTTCCGAGGTATGTCTCCTATGCGTGAACCCGGGCCAACAGAGCTAATACTGTTTACGACGTCTTTAGCGCAGCGCTTTATCAATAAGGTACTCGGCAGCGACTTCGAGCCGGCCGACGCCCTTAAGATTCTCTAGGAGAAGTATATGATCGATTACGGATCCCGCTCGGCGGGCGGGGCGCAGGCCAGGCCAACGGACGCCTTCTTCCCGCTATTCTTCCTCGACTTCCTCAGCATCGTCGGCAAGCCAGGGCGCCCGATCACGAGGCGCGATAGCCCGATATTCGATAATATAACCGTCTTTTTTTAGAAGTACGGGGCTCCTTACGGTACGAAGTATATCGGCGGGATCCCATTCGATATTACCGGACGCACGTTCAGGATCGCCTAGGCCGCCATTAGAGAGATCTGGTTTATCGTTATGTATCCGGTCGGGGGCGAGACGGCCGATCCCGCCGCCTCGGCGGCGACGGCGGCGGGGGGCCAGCGCGAGAGGGAGCTGGCCGGGGAACGGAGCGGGATGGCCGGCGGGCTGGCGCGGTAGCTAGCAGCCTATATCACGGGCGTCTTCTAGTCGCCCGAGCTGCTGGGTGAAGGGGTTGAGCCGTGCTGGCGACCCGGGGGCAGGCATAGCTAGCGTATAAGCTCTACCCGCTGGACGGCGTTCTAAGAGCTCTTTATGGACGGCTGGATAACCTGGGCCGGCAGCCACCCTGCGGAGTCCTACTGGCGGCGGCACGAGCCGGCCTTCCACGCGTACGACTATGGCGCCAATATTGAGATCGAGGTCGGTAAAAGTATATATAACCTTCCGCGCGAGAGATACGTCTACCTGGACGAGGACAGCGAGGAGGACCGGGGGTCTAACGACGAAGACGAAGTGGAGGACGACGCCCGGCGTAGCCTTGACAGTCTCTTCATCAACGAGGGGCCGGATGGCCTTGCCGTAGAAGGAGGCGGCAGCCCTAGCGGCTCTGCCAACGGCCCCCAATACCGGCAGATGATCGGGGAGAGCGAGGGGCTGCAGAAGCTGATCACGGAGCTCGGCGCCCGCTTTAGGCCGGAGAACATCACCGCCCTCTCGTACGCCCTTGCCGTCTGCCTCCATAGCGAGTCAGGCGATTCCAGACGCGCTATCTCCTCGCGGACCGGAATATACTGGGCCGCGAGTTCCCTATAATAGCGACTATACCTTTTACCCGCAGGCCTTCCACCCACATATAAGAACTTCTCCTCTAACCGCTCGCCGGCGTTCTTCGATTCGCTATATACCGCTATAAGGGGTAATATAAGTGACCGGAACGAAGGCACCGACGTACTATCGTTCGGATATTTCTAGGGCTACTCTAATACCAAGAGGAGCGTGCGCCATAGCCCGAACGATCTCCTATTACTAAGGGTTTTATAACGGGGGCGCTTACGGCGCCGACGGCCTGTACCTCGGCTACGACGTATACAAGAGATAAGCAAGAGTGGCTACTATATATCATCCGCGGGCACGCCACGCAAGAGAACCCGGAGTAGTCTAAGCCGTTCGTACGAGAGCATAACCAGATAAACGTCGCCGTCGATAACGAGGAGGTCGCATACCGGATAGAGCAGGTCATATCGCTCAACGTAGGGCATATAGTCAGCGCCGAGCGCACGTTTAAGGCCGTTATCCGCCCTATCTTCCAGCTTATCCGCTTCTTCCTCCTAGAGCACGAGTCGTACGTGCATATATTCCGGTCTATACCCCTCGAGGTCTTTCCCCGCATCGTATCTACCTACTGCCGCCTCTTCGAGCTGGCGCTTAACAAAATGGAGCGGCGTTACGTGCGGGAGGGCGAGCGCGGGCTCGACCTGGCTTCCTCCAAGGCCGTTACCGTACTTGACCGGCTCGGCGAGTACCTCTTCACGGGAAACGAGCGGCACCTACCGAAGACGGTGCTGCGGCCGCTGGGCACTATAGATAGCCTCCGCACGGGGGCGTAGCCGTATATCGACCCGGCCGTGCTGGACCTCGGCTCGTCGGGGTCGGGTAGGACCGTCATCCACGTAGGCCGGTGGCCGCGCTCGGCAGAGACGAGGAGGCTCGTGCTGCTCCACGTGCGCGAGCTGCAGCACCACTACGGCGTCCGCATAGCATCCAGCCGAGAGGCGGCCATCTGGTTCGACCAGCTGGGCGAGAGCGCCCTCGGCAGCCGGTCTGCCGTGGCCGACTTCACGGCGGAGCTGCTGCGCGAGCTGTAGATCCCGTAGACCAAGTTCTTCATCACCCGGCAGCTACGCCGCAGACTGCGGGAGGGGCCGAGGCCGACGACGGCCAGCCCGTCACAACCGAGCAGGTCGAGGCGTGCAGCCGCGCCGTCACCGCGTGGGAGACGTCGTCCGACGCGTTTACCTGCAAAGCGCTGCAGCAGCTCGTTAGAGGTCTCATGCCAGGCGGCGCCCGCGTGGCGATAACACTGTCCAGGACGCGCACTCGGCACGACTTCGCCGCCGAGCTGGTACGCGTTGTCGCAAGTGAGAAGGGGAGAGAGGCAGTGGCGCCGTCCAAGGCGACATGCCAGACCAGCTGCAAGCCGCCATGGCCGTCGGGCTCGGGCATGAGGAGTGGTCGCCGTGCTGGGGGCCGTATACTTGCGCCGGGATAGAGTGGGTCCCCGATGCCGTGCGGGGCCGGCTAACGTTAAGGACAGTCGTCCGTTTATGCGGCCGGGAAGGCACACGGCCGGCGCTAACCGGGCCGGCCGGGTCGCTACGGCGCGCGGCACAGGAGGCGCAGATCAAGCACGAGAAGGCAATAAAAGACCGGGCGCTCCGTCAAGCGCAAGGAAGGATCGATTTCGGCTGCGCCTTCCCTTTTACAGACATCCCCAGCGTCGTTCAGTCAGGGTTCAACCAAGCTAAGACGATCTTCTCCGGGAAAGGCGACATTAAGGTGCTAGACCACTACCAGCTTGCGATGAACTGCCTGGCCGAGAACATCGACGACCCCCTCTGCTGCCTCATGCTGATGATCACGCTCACGGTATGCTCGTCGTCGGAAACGCCAGAAGTGGCGCAAGGGTCGCGGGAGTTTAGCATGCAGCAAAAAGGAAAGACCCCGGGCAGCTCGCGCTCGTCATGGTCACGCGGATATATGGTTCCTCTACCCCAGGTTATTCCCGTGGGCAAAGAATTCCGGAGGGACAGCCTATGACGTAGGGGAGATGACGAAGAAGATCGGTAGGTCACAGTGGGAGCTATTCATCTAACAAACGCAATGCTAATAATAGGCTACAAGAGCATAAGGGCTGCAGCAACCGGATGCTGCAGGCGGTCGGTTGGGTCACCTCGAAGAGCAAGCGCGACAGCCCGCGAAACACGGACCTGCAATTGCGGTCGCAGGAGGAGCTTCTCGAAACGCTGCGGGGCTTGCAGTTAGCCATCAAGCGACCCGAGGACTTCATTGGCATAATATTCCATAGTCAGGACGACATTTGGGTAGAGCGGTGTGGGAGCCTTGTCAACCGTGCAGCATAAGGAGCACAAAGGATACAGCAACCGGATGCTATAGGAGCTATAATAGGTCATATCGAAGAGCAACCGCGATAGTCTACGAAACACAGACCTGCAGCTGCAACCCCGGGAGGAGCTACTAAGGACGCTTTGAGAGCTAAGGTCTGCTCTCCGGCGTCGAGGAGACTTTATCTGTATAGTCTTTTGTAGCCGGGATAGAATCTGGGTGGAGCGTTGTGCGAGTATTATCAAGTAGGGAGGTAGAGAGGTTCTAGAGTAGCACAGGTACAATAATACTTCATACAGAGCGGACCGGCCATTACGAAGTAAAGACGGCTTGTAGTTAGAAACCCGGTCCTGGAGATCGAGAAAGAAAATCCACTACTATAGCTGATTTGTATTTTGTCAGCTACCTAATAAACGCCCAATAATGATGGCAGTACCAACGCGTGCTCTAGAGGCGCCCAACCCAGCCTCCACTCAAAGTAGGCACTCAGTGCTGCCATTCAATGTATGCGCTTGCTGCCGAAAGCAAGACCCACGGCCCGCTCAGTCGTCCATGCCGTCCAACTCGTCATCGTCCACATCCTGGACGCCGCGATAGAGGACAACGTAGCCGAAGTAGGACGGGCCATCCTCGTGGGAGGTAGCCGCCATTGGCGCGTCGACGGCATAGCTTGTAAAGATGGCGACGTATTCCGTAAGGGTCTTCTCGGCGCCAGTACTGGGGTTGATGACTCTCTCCAGAGCGAAGGCGAAGCTCAAGCCCTTGTTACGTATGACGAAGTGATCGACCCTGAGGACCGGGCCGTTAAGCTGGACAATAGGCATTGCTACAGGTTGTTTATTCCTAAGCAAGGGTTAGACGTGCGGCCGAGCGGATGGGCATAAAGCTTGTCCATCTTAGCAAACATAAGCTCGACGGCTACGCCCATCCTAATGAGCCCATTATCAAGCCTAAAGGCGGATACCAGCTCGCCAGCCACTTCGCCATATAGTACTACCTCAAGCCAGTCATCTATAGCATTCAAGTTAAGCATAATAGGTAACCCTCAATAGCGAAAGTAGACGGCTTCATTATAGACCATCATGAGACTCCTCTGTCCAACGTGGTATATGGCGAGAAGGGTCGTATTGACGCCTGGGGCCACAAGGGATCATAAGGGATCTCTGGGATGCTTGGCTGGCAAGCA